ATCATGTCTTCTCCATTGGCCCGATTTATGCTTTCGGGGTTTTCCTGCCATTCATCAAGGCGGCAGTTCGGGATGTTTCGCTCCTTGTTATGGAGCAAGGAGAGTTATAGGCAAAGAAAGATGAAACTCTGCCAGATGGAGTGCAAGCTGGTGAAATGCAAACAAATTGAAATTGCAAAGACGTAATCCAAAAGATCAAGATGTGTTTGTCGTACAGGCAGTTCTATGTGAAAGGGTGCCCCGAAAGAGACGTTTGGTTACATTGAAATTGATAAAGTGAATGTCTAAGAGTTGAGAATCTATAGCCTATAGTACCAGTACAGGTATGTACAGAATTGTACAGATACTCTGAAGCATTCCAGTGCTTACTGCTATCAACAGTTGAGTTTGTCTGAAAATCTGGTACCTTGATCATCACTATTCCAGCTGTCCTCTTTGAAATTGCCATTTTGATCCATGGTGGAGGTATACCACATTTTCAGACATACCCGAAGCTTATACTGTTCGTTGTATTACGTTATGTCTAATTATTATTTATATTTGTATATGATATACCCAATTGCTATACACCCATGTTTTATATCCATATATACATATATCCTATTATATCCATATGAATTTCAAAAAAATGCTTGAAAATCCTTCATAGCCTGGAGACTGGACCTCGCAGGCCGATTTGGGCATTTCTCTATCAGAGGCTTCCCTGGTGTCACAGCCATGAGATCCCGGGAACTGGTTGGGGTATGGATCATGTTGTATGTATACATATGTGTATGTGGATATGCTTATGTATCTAATTGATCTCTTTTTTTTGTCTACCAGTAGTACCGCACAAGGCGGTGGCGGAAGTTTGAGAAATAGGAAACCTATAGGAGAGGTTGTTTGTTGTGACTTACGGATGGCAGAGCGAATCCACTGATGGACCGAGGTGGTTGGAGTCATGTTTTTTGGAATGGTTGCAGTGGTTGCAGCGGTCACCTCACCACAACTGCTGGATGTAGTGTGGTGTAGTGCAGTTGTAGTTGTAGTTGCAGTTGTAACTGTAGTTGTAGTGGAGTGGAGCTGGAGCTGTAAATGTAGTGTAATTAGTGTAGCTGCAAGCGCAGTTGCAGTTGTAGTCGTGGTGTGGTGTAATTAGTGTATTGTAGTGCGGTGTAATGTCGTGGAGTGATCCCTACCCTCTTAAAAATGGAATTTGGGGGGGGGTTCGTACTGAAATTTCATTCTAAAATTCCATTTTGGCAATCATGTTTTCTCAATGATCAATATTCCTCATCATTCCATGTCATTGGCAAGCAGGTGAAAATTAAATACTTGCGCTTAGCTCCGGAGGAGCTAAACACATGTCAGACTGAAGCAGCACATGTGTAGGGATGGCATCCCTCAAAAAACATTGCGCTGCCGTAATCATACTTGCGCTTAGCTCCTCTGGAGCTAAGCGCAAGTATTTTCTAACCAGCGCCCAAGGCCTGTTAAGAAATGTTACTTTACAATTCCATTCGAGGGGTATCACTATCCCAGGGTTTCCAAGCAAAAAAAAGTGGAATTCGACAGGTTGGTTTTGTCCCCCCCCCACGCCCTCCCCCTCTATAGGGGTAGGGATGTGGAGTGTTGTGTAGTGTAGTGTGGTATAGTGTAGTGTAGTCTAGTGTAGTGTAAGGTAGTGTAGTTGTAGTTGTAGTGTGGTGCAATGTAATTAGCGTAGTGTAGTTGTAATTGTAGTTGTGGTGGTGGTGGTGGTGGTGGTGGTTGTTGTTGTTGCTGCTGCTGCTGCTGTTGTTGTTGTTGTGGTGTAATTGGTGTAATTGGTGTAATTGGTGTAATTGGTGCAGTGTAGTGTAATTAGATGTAATTAGCGTAGTGTAGTGCAATTAGTGTAGTGTAATGTAGCGTAGTACATTTGTAGTTGTAGCTGTGGTGTAGTGTAGTTCTAGTTGTAGCTGCTGTAGTTGTAATTGTCTATCTATCTGCCCGTCTGTCTGTCTATTTGCCTGCCCCTCTGTCTGTCTATCTGCAAGCTTGAAAACGCAGTAATTCTGCGAGACGTCCTCACTTTTTGAACTTGACAACATCAAAAACGAGACAGTTCTGCGAGACTTCCGCAATTTACGAAGTTGACAACGTCAAAAACGAAACAACTCTGCGAGACTTCCTTCAAAAATGGAAAGTTGAGTGCAGAGTTGACGGCCTCGTACCAATGCGTTTTGCGGTTTTTCCACTCCACCTGTCTAAAGTACTGCGCCTGCCACGACAAAGTGATGCCATGTCATACGAAGTGCTGCACCTGTCCTGCAAAATCATCTTCCCAAACCTGAAGATCTGATGCTCCAAAATGCAACCCCTCTCAGGAAATCAGCGCCCGGACCTCCTAACAGCTCTGATTAACATGTATCTTGTACTGCGCCTGCCACGCGAAATGCATCTTGCCATATCCTCTGCATATGTCCCACGCCTGCCATCGTTTTGCTTCGCGCCACAACGGCGTGCACTTTTTCGACACCTCAACTTCCAAAAGTGCTCCGAACCCGTCAGTTTTTGACACTTTTGACTTTGAATTGTGCTTCGCGCCACAACGGCGTGCAATTGTTCATATCTCATCTGGCCAGCTGGCTCCGCACCCGCCGCTTTAGTGAGCCTACTTTTCGACCCTCCGGAGCCACAAATCATTGGAAAAACACCACCTTTTCGTGCACCTGGATCTTCTTTCTGTCTTCGGAGACTTTCTCTTTTTGATCTTATTTCTTCTTCTCTTCTCTTCTCTTTTTGATCTTCTTTCTTCTTCTCTTCTCTTCTCTTCTCTTCTCTGACTCTTCCCATCTCTGCTTTTCATCTGTCCATATTGTCGGAAGTTTGACTTCTAAACTTCCTTCGATGACGTAGATGTGAATTACGATGTATGTGTGCATGTAGATATATGTATACACAGATTATGCATACATAATATAGACATCTATACGATATGTGTATACGATTGAATACATGTAGTTGGCAGTTTAATATGTATTATGATATATAGATATACAGTATAGTATATAGGATAGTACATAGTAAGCTATTTTTACAATATATGCAGTACAATAAGCATGTTACATATCTGTATATATATATATATACATATGGTGCACAAACTATATGTACACGTTCTGAATAGAATATGTACATATACTGTGTGTACATGCGTACGTACATACGCAAACATACATACATACATACATACATACATGCATACATACATACATACATACATTTATACATACATACATACATGCACACATACACACACATACACACACACATACACACACACATACACACACACATACACACACATACATACATACATGTACGCATGCATGCATACGTACATACACACATACACACATACCTACGTACATGTTTTTGCAAATGCTGCAAATTGCCAGCTTTTGCGGGTACCATTCAATGACTTGACAGAGTTTTTCTTCGTCGCATAGCATTGCAGGTGTCGGCCATTGGTAGCACAATGAACACTGCACAGTGGGCTGGTGGATTTTTGGCTGGTCAGGAACTGAGTTCGTGGTTGCACAGTTCGTTGGTGTTCCAAGGGATGCGGATTCCGAGCAAGGCACGACCTTGGAAGGATACCAACCATTAGTAGACAACATGCTGCTGCCAGCATGTGATCATGGTGATGCTGTGCTATTTGAAAGCAGCTGAACTTGCGGCTGAAGATGATAAATGCTTCTTTGTGAGTCCAATGTCCATCCTGCAGGTTTGGATGTAGCTAGGTTCCACCTGAGTTGAATATTTTTTGGGTTCCAATATCAGACGGTGGGTCTCAACATGGGGGATATTGAGGTCTCGCCATTCCGCACAGAACCAGCCACTCTTCGGTGGCCCTTTTTGGTGCTGTGGGAGCTTTCCTTGGTCTTGCTTCACTGTCGATTGTGAACTTGGCCGCACGTGAAGGATTTTACATTGGGATATGTCTAGTTTACTCTACGTGTCAGCTATATTCAAAAGTGGGCGACTCTAATTCTATATCAAAAAATCCGAAAATCTCATGCTGTTTGGAAAGACAATGAATTACACCGCACCCCCGAAGACCCCAAGAAACATTCAAAAGATTCAAAAAGAAAAACTGCAGTGTTGAAAGATGCTACGCAATGAAGTACAAATTATATGGAACATACAACTTCATATAGATTGTTTTGGTTTCGTGATTTGTAGTGTAGTTCTTTTGCAAGGATATGGTGACACAAGATGCATGGTTCAGGGATGGGTTAGCAATCATACTACTGGCATGTTTAGATAATGTCACCTGCAGGAAATCATTGACATACCAAGAGGAGACCTGTGTGGGTCAAATCTCGTTACACAGAAGGTCAAAAGTGGTAGCTCACGGAGCTAAATTGTGGCAGTATATTGCAGCGCTGCTCTTTCCAGACAGCTTTTCGGTTCCTGAGCATTTTTGGGTCTTTTGTCCTTCGAGCGCTCCTTGCACAGAGCCTAGAGCATCTTAGCGCCTCAGTATTGCTGTCCTTCGTAGGTCTAGCCGTCCTGCCATGAGCCCGCAGTGTGAGGCAACCATGGCCCCCCTGAACCAGCAGAGCCCCATGCCCAGTTGCCACACTTCTAACCAGCTTTTATGCTTCCAAGCTTGAGGGTTGCCAGCCTCTTCGGTCATGTTTGTCAGGTTTGCGTGAAGTCTTTGCTGCGATGAAGCTTAAATCTGGTGCCACGAATGTGCCCCTCGCCTGAAATCATGCCGAACATTGGTACCGGTACTGCTTCAGAGGAAGTTTTTTCAGAAAATAATGCAGCCCGTGTGCCACGTATGTCAAACCCATTCGAACCAGAAAGCAGACCAAACCCAACCCTTTCCCACCTTGGTGGTATAGCACCTCTTTGTGAATTATCATCCTGGCGGCCATTGGTTTGGGAATATATTGGTGGTGACTTGAATTTTTCAACAGCACAAATACATATATATATACATTCACATACACATACACACGCATACAGTACATATACATTATACATTTATATACATGTATATGTTTTTATTCTCGGGCCTCGGGGTTCTTATACATGATGGCCGATCATGATGGCCGATGGCCTTTCCCGCAACGGTCCAGCATCACCGTCCAACATGACATGACCGGTCCAACATGGCATTTGCTCATGGGTGAAACCATCGCTCTGAGGGAAACACTTAAGATGAACAAAACTTTCGAGGCAAGATGAAAACACTTTCGAGTCATTTGCAGCAGCGGCCAAGGAGGAAAGCCGCAATGGTGGCCGTGAAGAAGATCAAGTCTGAGACGCTTGGAATCAGCTGGGAATTGTCTAGTGGCTGATCCACCATGCCTTTGTTTGCAGTTGCCGCGTTTCCACCCGCATCAGGGATGGCTCCGTGTCCTACCACATTGTGCAGCTCAGTGCAATGTATGAAATTCAGCGTGCCTTGTTGAAAAAATAGTTGGAAACGCATGACAATTCTGGATCCCTCTTGGCTTCAAGGCGATTCTATCGAGACGAGATCGGAGACCTGTCAAGCCCATATCTCTTGGCAGACCGCCAGTAGTTCGCTCAGCAGCAGCCCGCTTTGCAATGGGGTGTGTACCTTGGGGTGTGAACACCAGACTGAGTTGCAGGCTCCATCGTCGAGGCTACCGCGGCCACTTCTCCACGGAGTGGAAGGAGGCAGCCCTGGGCCCAGAAACGCGCGGCTTGCAAGTGCACATTTTGCTTTGAAACCTTGCCATGGCTGTCCATGGATTCCATGGCCAGGTAAAGATTCACAAGGGGGACTTCGACCTCTCTGTCGGAGTAGATGTTCGCTTCGACGGAGAAGATGTCACCTTCCACGTAAAGCCGGGACAGCTGGGGGGACTTTGTTGCAGTCGGGGGCCATGTGCATGTCATGAACTGCGGAGACCTTTCTTGCAGGGAGGGCGACTATTTGCTCCAGAAGACCTCGGGCGAAGTGTACCCGATCGAGGAGCAAGAATTCCTGGCCACCTACGAGACAGAGGGTGCGGGAGGCTGCGGTGCCTCATGTCAACTGGACCTTTGAAACATCTCACATTTGCACCCTTGTGAGGGCCAGCAAGCGCGCTGAGCAGGGCCTTGCCACCAGCAACTTGGCATTTTGGTTGGCAAAATTCAGTTCTTGATGGTGTGGTGCGCCAAGGCCTGTCACGTTTGGGGCGGTGCACGCCCGAAGGGCCGCCGTGCAGGCAATTTGGCCATGTTGGTATGAGCACGTGACGTTGATGACCATGACCATGACCATGACGCTGGTGATGGTGTGATCTTACGGTTATTGTTATTGTCATTGTGCTTTGTTCGATTATAAACTTCCTCTCAGCTCTGGCATTGATCTACTGTATTTGAATGACCTTGTTGTGGGTGGCAGGTGCCTCATGTAGCGTGGCTGCCTTGATTGATGCACAGGCATGCGCGCACATTGTGTATGTATATATTATATGTATGTATGCATGTATGTCTTATACATGTGTTTATATACATGTGCATGTTTTACATACATGTATCCTTGTGCCATCCCATGGCTGATCAAAACTACCTAGAAAAGGTTTGAGCCGCAGTAACAGCTAGTGCTGCTTGCCGGCCAGGTGATCACCCATGAAATAGTTTCACATGTTTCACCGCTTTGACTGGGGTTGCTTGTTTTGCGAGATGTGCTTGTTTTTTTGTTGTCCTTGAATGCTGCTTTTGGATAGTAAGTCCACTGCAACCTCATCCGCTTGCATGGTTTCACTCATCCTTGTTTCACCATATTCTAACTTTTTCCCCGGTTCCCGGAAACTAATGTTCAACGCAGCAAAGTTTGTTTTTCTTCTGTCTTTTCCGGGAACCCTGGGGGGCCGGGTATTTGAATAATCCGCTACTCAGACAAGATTTTCGATGTGTTTTCATAGCCTTTGATCACTTTCGAGTAGCGGATTATTCAAATGCCCTGGCTGGGGGCCGGAGTTAACCTAGGCGAGGCATGCCATCAAAGCAAAGGCCAGGTTCAGTCAGATCGGTATTGATAAATATGACATTATTGTTTGATTGTTTTCAGAGATGGCATGCCTCCAGATGCCTGGGAACTCCGCCCTCGCGCCGGCTCCTGTCATTTGCCTTGGGAGAGTGCCCCGTGTTGGACCCAGGCGGTGTTGGAATAGGGAACTGTTGGAATAGAAAAGTCATGTCATTTTCTTTTGGCTTTCCAACACCGCCTCGGTCTTACATGGGGCGGAGAAATAATTTTTCAATGACTAATGAGAAATGATCGTGTAATTGCTTATCATATCTTAATTTTTCTAATGAGTCAGCTTTGTTTTTGGGCGTCTAAGTCATAATGGATGGTGAATTTGGAGGAAAAAATTGCTGGCACGGCAACACAAGGCGACAGCACAAGCAGTTGGGCCGCAGCCCAGTCAATTTTGAGGGATCTCCACCAAAATAGGTATATACAATGTGGGGCCCCCTAGATAGCTAAACTGGTTTATAACTCCAATAACCATGGTTTATGGTACTTATAACTATAGTTATGGGGGTTTATAAACCAACTTATAACTGGGGGGCCCCACATTGTATAGAGATTCGAATTCTTTTGAAATTCACGAAGGGTAGGCACGGGAAAGTCGCTGTCCTTTTGCAGTTCGTAGATTCTTTCCTCGTTGGTACCGGTTTCATAAACCTGTTCAATTTATTTCCTTGCATTCATTTTTGATGGATTGATGAATACACCGATTATTGCAATTCAAATGTGGGTTCCTCAAAATTGGGGACGGTTTCAAAACTAAAAATGGTCACGACTTGGAGGATTTGGGGTACCCCCATGACCCCATGACCTAGGAAACCTCCTTAAATGACCCATGTTTTTTCGGCCTATCATCGCGGCCTACTGAGATCCAGAATCCCAATGTGGCTCATCCGGCGGCGCTTCTGGCAGGTCGAACCATGGGGCTCGGTTACGGCCTGGTGGTGAGATTTCATCTGAAACGGTCAAAAACAAAAAGAAGGATCAGGACGAATATGATTCAACACTAAGCCGCGATTTAACTCTAATATATTCTAATGATATAACTATCTCCATCCATGATCATCCATGTTTATGTTTTATATTTTTGCCGATGTTTTTCGCATCAAAGTTGCAGGTTTGTGTTTGGGTTCCTCCAACTTGGCTGGTTTGGTTGCGCTCAACGCCACGGTGTCTGCGAAGAAACGGGCCACCTGTGTCGGTTTGGCATCCTGCCCCCTGGACGCCACGGCGAAGATTTCGGGTGCGTTGACTTGGAAACCCCCAAAAAAATGGAATTTAATTTGGTGATTTAATGGGACCTTTATGGTGATTTAGTCGATTTTGTGGGATTTTATATTAACTAATATTATAATATATTATACATATATCGTGTATTAGGTGATTTTGATGGTTCAGGGGATTTAATAATCGTATTTAATGGTACTTAATTTCTGTTTACTGGGATTTTAAAATCAAAAGAAATCCGTAAATCAATGGGGATATGGTATGAAGTAATGCAACGACTAAATGAGGACAGAATAGGCAAGTATCTAAGCAACACTGAAGTGTTAAATTTCTAAACCCAAAACCATAAACTATTCAAAATTCTAACCAGGAGTGTGATGGACTTCATCCATCCCCCGAGGTTTATGGTGGGTTTACTAGATCGACATTGTATACGTACAGAATGGAAGGACAAAATCCTCCACCAGTTGGGAACTATTGGTAACTATGAAACATTGTAGATCATAGGATTGTAACGGGATAAACCATCTACAAACTGGTGCAGTATTTTTCCATCCACTGTGTGTATCTGAAAAACATTGGTTTAATACGTCTCATCAACGAAGATCGGAGCGAGAGGTAGAAGTGGACTTCGTGCTCCCATCACTTTCGATCAAGTTTGGATATTTGTAGACCGCACGTTTCTGAGGTGGCACAAGTGTGGGCACCATTCTCCTGCCGCACTTCTATACGTTGCTTACAGGTGGCTGCAAGCAGTATAGTTTTTTGCATCCATTGTGGGCGCCATCATGCGCCACTGATCTACTTTAAACATCGCTATAGCATCGCTATCTCAGCCTTAGGTACAAGATAGATCTAAGATGAGCTGTAGCTTAGGGGGCCATAGGGGGCCCGTTCTTCAAACCATCCCTTTCCGAAGCTTCGCCTGGCAGAAGCGATGGGTTGGAGATGGGCGATGCGGATCAATGCGGCCGCATCTTGCCTTTTCCTCGCGGCTGCTGCACCCTTTTTTCGTGTGCAACAGGCTGCGCCGGAGAGCTGATACATCCACGTGTTGACGCTAGATTGCGTTTGTTCGTAGCTGGACAAGGGTTGTATTTGAACAGCAGCCCTACTCCGCAGGAAGCGAAAACTGAAGTGGATTCATGCATCAAGGACGCAGAACAACCTGACAGTTGGGAAACCTGTTATGCGCCTTGAGCACACTTGGACAACTCTGACATTTTTTGGGATTTTCTTGGGCAATTTTCTTGGGTCTGTTTTTTTTGGGTTGACTTATCATTGCCCACAACGCTGATAGCTTCTTCTACAACGCTGCTGAGAGTATTTTCATAGCAACAACTGCAATCACTCAAAGTCAAAGTACTTACTTGTGTGTGTGTGTGCGTTTGTGTGCGTGTTTGTGTTGTATATACTGTGTTGTAGAATGTTTACTTGTTTAATATTGTTTGGATGTTTCAAGTCCAGGGGAGTTTGAGGGTTGAGTTTCAGCAGCTCCAAGATGGATCTCGATGGGTCTAGATGGTGGTTTCGGCTTGGTTTGGGTTCCCAGTCCCTAGGTTTTTGGATGATTTAAATTGACTTCTATTTTTCGGGTTGAAAACATTCGCAGGTTTGAAACTATCTCCGCTCACGGGGAAAGCCCGCAGAAACAGATTTGACGAGACTTTGGGTGCTGAAAATCTATTAATTTTGTTTGTTCACCTTTTGTTTGCACCGTACTTTCTTTAAGAAAAAAAATTACTTTACTTCGTGTGATCCCCACCATGACATTTATACATTTTCTTACTGGCAAATCTTCTGGCATTCTATCTGACACATCTTCTGACATTCTATTTGACATTCTATCTGGCATATCTTCTGGCATATGATCTGGCATATCTTCTGGCATATCTTCTGGCATTCTATCTGGCAAATCTTCTGGCATTCTATCTGGCATATCTATCTGGCATATCTTCTGGCACTCTATCTGACATATCTTCTGGCATTCTATCTGGCATATCTTCTGGCATATATTCTGACATATCTTCTGGCATTCTATCTGACATATCTTCTGGCATATATTCTGACATATCTTCTGGCATATCTTCTGGCATATCTTCTGGCATATCTTCTGACATATCTATCTGGCATATCTTCTGGCATATTTTCTGGCATTCTATCTGGCAAATCTTCTGGCATTCTATCTGGCATTCTATCTGGCATATCTTCTGGCATTCTTTCTGACATTCTTTCTACTTCTTGCACATTCTTTGTCCCATATCTTCCTACATGAGGTCCGGCAGGGAACACTTGGCGTGGATACTCGCGGTTGAGGTCCGGCAGGGAACACTGGGCGTGGATGGTCGTGGTTGAGGTCCGGCAGGGAACACTGGGCGGGGATGGTCGTGGTTGAGGTCCGGCAGGGAACACTGGGCGCGGATGGTCGTGGTTGAGGTCCGGCAGGGAACACTGGGCGTGGATGGTCGTGGTTGAGGTCCGGCAGGGAACACTGGGCGTGGATGGTCGTGGTTGAGGTCCGGCAGAGAACACTGTGGATCGCGGGTCGCAGTTGAGCAAGGACGACGAGGACGACGAGGAGGACGAGGAGGAGGAGGACGAGGCAGGAGGAGGCGGAGGAGGAGGAGGAGCAGGAGGAGGAGGAGGGAGCAGGAGGAGCAGGAGGAGGAGGAGGAGGCAACTGACATAAAATCTAACAACCCTCACCTGGCAGGTGGGGAAAAACGGGTTATATCATATCGTTGTTTCAAGCCGCGCTTGAAATCTCCACGTGTTTAGCTTGGTGACTGGGCGAGGAGTCCGATGCTAAACCCAAGAGGTGTGTGGTGCTAAATCTTTGATTTCTTTGTTGGTGGCTGAACATGTTTGTATGCTGCTTGACCGCAATGTCCGCAAAGGGCACCCGTATGCACGGTCGACATCACCAGACATGTGGACTCTAGCAGACATGTGGTCTTTGCTTGGGAGCACATTTGGATTGTATTGTATAAAATTGTAGTCATGTTGCATAAGAATGTGGAACACAAGAGGTGATGATTTGTTCTTTTGGTGTTTTGGAACTTTTGAAATGGTAATGTATAACAAGATGGGTATGGAGATTTTTTATGCCCATGGCCGCAGGGGCTGAGCTCAGGTTTCTTCGGCTACTTGGTACCTCCCACACTGTTGGCGGAATTTGCAAGGAAAGAACTGAAGCTGTCTGCGAATCTGGCGGCCCTTTCCTACTCACTTTTTGGCACCTTGCTGGCGGAAGATTGGTCAATTTTTCCATGGTTGGTGGTGCACAAAAGATGAAACAGTGCATGGTTGTTTGGTTGGCGATTTCAAATAGTGAGTTGTTTATCTTCAGAAATGGAATTGATGATGATCCCCAATGACGCGCTTTTCTGGTTCCCAGAATTTCCCAACTGAGGAGTGACTGCGCTCATCACACGACTCTTATTGGGATGCATCACCCATGCATTTGGAGGGCCCCGTTCTTTGGCTGCAAACGTGCTCAAAGTCTTCAACGTCAAGAGAAAAACTGTGGAAAGTTATATGTTTAAAAAAAAAACGGAAGCAACACTCGAGAAATTAGGAATGTGTTCCTTGGTGACACAGGGAACATGAAGGAAGGCAAAAGTCAGTCCTTGTTTCCTGTCTTTGATTTTCCTGGCAATAATACGTGATGTGACAAACTTGGACATGCAGTGCTGCATCCTGCTCCAATCCAAGGACGCCTATTTTTCGTGTCGCAATTTCTGGTCGGCGCATTTGCATGTGTTTTACCTTTTTGCTGGATACTTGAACAAGATCCTTTCAAAGGTGCTACAATTGAGTTGGGAAGTCCATGGAAGTCCAGAAGTGGAGTGCAGGACAAGCGTTCAGACCATGTCAGAACATGTAAGAACGCTGTAGAACACTTATGAAAGTTTCAGGACATCAAGTCAGCTTGCCAGATGCATAAGATATCGGTGCCACTCAGCCAAGCGGTAATAAAAAGTTCTCCAGCTTCAAGCGTTTCCGCTAGAGTCGTTTAAGGAATGCAGAGTCTTTGCTTGTTTGGAGCGCAGTCTATGGCGACTTGGGTGCAGTCAGACTGTGCTGAAAGTTTGATCCTCGAAATAGGAAGGGGGACCATCGGCCCACCACTGGCCCACCATCCACCAGTTGGTTTACTCAGTCACGAACCAAAACTTTGCTCCCCTGACAGCTGTGGTTACATCATTGTACTCGTACCATGATGTACCATGCACTTCTCCCAGATGTTAGTGCTGTTTTTTCTCATACAACATGGTAGCTCCCGGAGTCAAATGAAGGGATATTGGCTGATATTGGTTTAAAGTTTAAAACATTGCATCAAAGAAATCTAGGAGTCCAGGAGAGCTTCTTGTATGGTCAAATGCGTTGGCACCCAGAAAGCTGCCTCCAGCCATTCATTCCTATGAACCCAGGCTGTGCCCAACAACAACAACAACAACAACAACAACAACACCAACACACACAAAAAAAAAAACTGTGGCATTCTCTTTTTTTGCGTTTCTTTGACATGAGCGGCCAGGGGCAGAAGTTGAGATACTGAAAGTAGATGAATTCAAGAGGCTGTTGAGAGGCCAAGAGGGGAAGTTTAATTTTTGTTCAGTCATGAAAGAAGATCATGAACGGAGGGAACGAAAGCCAGCAAACCCATCTGCGTGTAGATGTGAGCTGGGAAAGAACGCTGGTGTGTTCCATCTGTGTGATGAGTTCCATCTTTTCGTCGCTCAGTTGTTTCTGTGTGCTCTTTGAGGTTGCAGCATTGGTCCAATCATTGCCCTGGTCAGCGTCGTGCTGAGCGACCTCTTCGGAACGAAGGCGCTCCACGGCTCCACGGGGATTTTTGTTGGCAGTTGGCTGTGGTGATTCTGTCACGAGGATTTGGCCATGTACCATGGCTGCTCACGCACTGGTGTGGGACTCGGCAACCTGCTGGGCATTCCACTTTTAAGCGCAGGACTCAGTGGTGGATCACTTGTGGACAAGTGCTCGTCGAACAGCGTTGGTGTTGACGCCGCAACGCCACACACATCCACTTACACTGGCTGTCGCTGGCTGCTCGTAATTCTTTTTCCTATTAAAACTTGCCATTTAGCTGGTATACCGGTATACCACTATTTTTAAGCACCCCAAAATGTTCTCAGAAGTGGATCTCGCATGAGCTGCGTGACTAGGTCTACTGGCCGAGAAGCAAGGCTTCACTGTTGCGCTCATTTTGTCAGGCGCTGGGCACAGACTACTCTTGATTTCAAAGCACTTTTGGCCAAATACTGAATAATTACTCCACTGGATAAAGGCATCAGTTGAGTGTGTCTGAAAACGGCGATACCCATAAAATCATATAAAATAACAGTCTTAACGGGGAAAAGGGTCATACTTGTAGATATAATATACAATGAAATTGTGGGGTACCCTACATTTAGAGGAACCAATGTGGCACGCTTGGAAATCCCCAGTTTCCCCTGTCGACACAGGCGCTTTGGTGAGCTTCAGCACTGTTTTCCTGATAATTCTCGAGTTCCTGCATAGAAGAAAACAACGGGCTGAGGCACTGATTTTAGGGTGAAGGAATTGGAGGTATTGAGGCAGAAACCTTGAGGCATGGAGATCAACCTCTTTTATAGGTTGAAGTCCTGTTTAAACTGTACACTTATGATCATTTATGTACACTTCATCACCAACATCAACAACTGTGCTCGACATCGAGTAGCTGCAGCGCTGCTGTACCTATAAGAGAAAAGACAGGAGTAGGATTTGCATGGATTGGGTTTGGGTTTGTCCAGAAGCAAGGATCCCTAGTTTGTCATGATTTCCCTATTGAAACATAGTATGAAATAGTCTGAAAATAGTCATAAGTTGGGGTATCCCCTGTTTACAGACAAACTCATGTAGTAGTGGCATTGATTTTCACAGTTCCCTGCTCCTGTCGAGATTGTCTTGGTGCACTAGCGAAGGTAGTGGTTAAATTCATGAAAGTGTTCCATCATTCAATGACTTGGCTGAGGGGAAATCTACTATTATATAATCTATTAATATCTATTATTACCATATAATTCTGAAATTTATTATGTGTAGCCGTGTAACCTGGAGGTCTTCTGTAATCTGAAGGTTCTATGTATTCGAAGCATTTCAAGGTATTGTCGCTGATAGCACAACCACAGACAGCCATTCGTAATTGCTAACTACGTTTCTTCCTCCAACCGCTGCAACAAACACTTGTGTGTCATGGTAGCTTGTGCACCTTGCCATTCTCCATATGACCAACTTGCTTGAATCGAAACAGACTTCAATAAAATCTACTTCAACTCAACAGGTTGGACTTGCATGGTCCAAAGTAGAGTCTGATGGTCCACACTTAGAAGGTGAACATGCCTTTCCCTGGAGGTTCAAGAAAGCAGATGCTGATTTCGCTGTCTTCATGGAACACTCTGAGTGCCTTTAAAAAAACACTACCAGTAGTGGCTTCAGCTGACGCGGTAAAAATATGCAGCGCCCATGTTGGTGGTCAAGATCTTCAAGCGGGGCACTTGAAAAGACATTGAGAAGATTCGCTGGCACGGATGTATTAATCCAAATCTCTGGTTGATCGTATATCGAATACATATGGTGGTTGATCTAAAAGTCCTTGTAAAGAATGATTATTGTGAAAGCCGTTCATGTTATGTTTCGAGCCCTTGCGAAAGTTGTTTTTCAAGTTCGTGAAAGTAGAACGTAAAAGTTTCGCGGAAGTTAGATCTTATGATTCATCATTGTATATATTACAACTTAAAGGGATATGTTTGCTACAGTTACGCGAAAGTTATTACGCGAAGGAGCAGGCCAAAGTGAAAGTGCATTTTGCAGGGGGTAGCCCAGTGAGCCTTGCGAATATAATCAAGTAATTATCAAGTATGTATATATATATATAATCATATACAACAAGCAACCATCTGTCCTGAGAAGGGATTCTGTGACGCTAGCTGCACGTTTACAAGGCCAGCACAAGAGGCATCTGTTCCCCACAGCCCCGCGAATGGCTGCTTCAGGATGAACGCATTGAGAATTTCTATCAACCACTCAGTCCTACATACACAGTATATGATAGCACATGTGTATATATATATATATATCATTCTTATCTATATATTATTGTTATTTTTTATTATATATGGAACTATATGGAAGTCGATCTAAAGGTCCATGTAATCATGTAGGGATTGTTAATTACAATGACCGCCAGTGTTGCACCATCAGACCCCGCGAAAGTTTGTTCTGAGCTCGCGAAAGTGTTGTTTACTTGGCGAAAGAACTGGCGAAAGTTTATCTTGATGAGGTGTCTAAACCGGCTTAACCTTTTACTTTCCTAGGTGAAGTGAGGATCTTCTTAGTGGCAAGAATAGAATAGACTAGACCCAAGCACTACATTGTAATCAAGTGGAGCTGAACCTCCAAACACGATTCAGGGCGTGAATTTGTTGGTTGATTTGCAAAAAAATTGTCGCAAAATTTCCGCGAAAGCAGCGGCGAAAAAGAAGGTCTCCATGGAAGCCCATAGCCCACACAGCATCTGAGCCTTGAAAACAATGAAACCATGCTTTTTCCTGGCGATTTTTTGCCCAAAATGGCCTTGCACCTACTCTTGGCTGTCTCCCAGATCATTCACACAGTTGCCATTGGCATGCTGTTTGAGTGCGTTTCAGCAGCACAAAAGTGGGTAGCCACAACCCCGCGAAAGATGAACATGGAGTTCGCGAAAGAGTTGCGAAAGATGTTTTTATTCGCGAAGAATGGCCGTTTTGCAGATAAAGGAATTTAGATCAACGGCCATATGTATATTACATATGATAAATTTAGAATGCACATATCCGTATACATCCATATACACACATCATGATCCATATGATAGACCATGATAATACGTATATATATATATATGAGCCTGGTCCCCGGACCCCCACACCCCCCCCCCTCCCCCCCCAATGGTATCCCCCCCCACTCCTAACCCCCCCCACCCCCCCAAAACCTAGTATTTGCATGTTATTTGCACATATACATACACATATACACATATATACTCCCCTTTCCACCCCTCCAACCTCGCATCTCTACGTTATTTGCAGCACTTGAGAGCCACGACCTCCTCAACGGACCTTGTCTACCTGTATATTTCTATCATAACCTTTTTTTCGAACCGCCTATAGCGTGCCTCGCACATGGTTTACAACATATTTGATACCTATGGATTACGCAAAGCTTACCTATGCAAACCTAGACATATGTACAGTAGAAAAACAATAAATACATATATATATATGCACAGTCTAGATACTACAGATTGATATCTTGATCTTGTATCTATCACATATTTCGTTTACATTGTACATACTGTACACGTATGTATATATATGTATGTATGTATGTATATATATATATGCATATATATATAGACATACATATATATATATATACATAAACTCTAGATATACAGCGTGTATTGCTGTCGATATACAATATACCACATATAATATGTAAAATTTATTCAACGAACATATTTACCTATATTGTATATATTACATCTACTGTGGATACAGTACATGTGGCATATACTATCTATATTCTATCAAAAACCACATATACGATGTGTATATATATATATGTTCAATATATATATATATTATAATATTATATATATATATATATATATATATAGATAGATTGCATATATTCTATTATATCAATCTTACATATTATTTATATGTTTATATATATATACACTACACATACACTCTATATTACATATAGTATGTCCATTCTAATTATCGATACATATGCATTATATATGCACTATAAAGACTACATACACCATGGCTTGGCTGCTGAGAAAACCCCCCCTCCCCTGCCACAGGGGGGGGGGGAACCATCTGGCTGGGGGGGGGGGGGGGGTGTGGGGTCCCTGCTCATATATATATATAGTGAGAATACATGGAAAATGTGTTTTCCCTCATGGTTTCATGACAGGCGAGATCGTCTAAAAGCATCGAAAAGCAGCGCTCTCCGAAGTTGTATTTGTACATACAGAAAGTATTGGCAAGTAAATTACAGAACTATTGAGCAAAAACCATCGACCTTGCTTTCAGGTGTGCCATTTCAGTCTCCAAGATGTTTGATTGGCTACCTTTTCTTCTACTGCATGCCCGTCAACCTGCTGGCTGTATACGGATATATATGTATATATACATTATATATATATATAGATAGATAGATAGATAGGTAGATAGATAGATAGATAGATGATATTTTTTTTTGTGATATTTGATTCTTTTTGATTCGGAGATCCATGGAGTTTAGGGCTTACAACATGGTTGGCAGGCAGTAAAATGTCTACAGTACTTGAGCAGTAAGCAGTACTTGTCTTCTGAAACGCTTCAAAACATCCATTTTTTTCCACAAGTCCACTGGGGTCTTTTGACCGATGGAGCTCAACATAATTTTTTTAAAATCCCAAAGTCATGAGGATCCAAAGGTCACCAGTCACCAAGGTCGCAAAACCTGTTGAGAGAAGAACTGGGAATATAACGGCGTCCAAGAAACCTGACTTCTTTGTGCTCTACCGTTTTTCCCAGAATCTACAGAAAGCTCTTACTGTTACAGGCATTGGGTGACACTGAATTTATATGTTTATGATTTGATATTTTTGATGTTTTCCTGATGTTCGCTGTGAGAGTTTGCTGTATGTTGTTCCTTTATTGTCGAGAAGCGACATGAGTGGATTCGAACGAGGCCGTTGTGGATCGCGAATCAGGACGGCATTGTAAAAAAGCCTGTCAAGAGAATGTTTCTTATTGTTTCTAAAATTTGGTACCTTCATGTACCTTCCAAAGTTTCAGGAACCATTGGCTTCACAGCAGGCATGGACGAAGCATACAACAAGACCTGTAGATTTCTGCGCCCCCAAGGGTGAATGGAGGATGCTTCCGCGGGAGGATGTCAGCCTCACTTGGTCAAGAAAGTTGTTGCCTGCTTCGTGAGACTCGGCTCCCGAACGGAGCACTATGAAGGGTACTGTATCAGTTCCAGAAGCGAAAGTTGTTACGTTCCAATCATTTTGTGGTGTGTTTTGTTGGTTCTCCAGTTGTGAAATTGTTGTCGATGCTCCAAGGAACATGATCTTCTCTTTGGGCCCGATTTATGGTTTCTCAGTATTCCTGCCATTCATAAAGGCTGCGTTTGGGCACGTTCCGCTCTTGGGGAGCGGTGGGAATCTAAAACTTGTGGAGCTGAAGCAAAGCGACATCATGAAGATCCAAGTTTTGACAGCAGGAACTTCTAGCATGACCGGATGACTGCCAAATGATCAGATTATTCGTGGTAAGAACTTATCAGAAGCATGTTGGATCTTGCGCATTTCTACAAGTGCCATGGAGCATTCCAGTGCTATCCGACAAGAGTTGAAGGGGGTTGAAAGCATCCCACAAGACCTCGCAGGCCGATTTGGGTATTTCTCTTCCAGAGGCTGGATCCTTCAGCATGGAACATATGGCACTGAACTGGAATAGATCCAGATGAAGTAGAAAAAGAGTTGGACCTCAAACCACCAGATTTTTTTTGATTGCTAGTGGTTCCTTGGGAGATAAATTACTTTACTTCGTGTGATCCCCACCATGACATTTATACATTTTCTTACTGGCAAATCTTCTGGCATTCTATCTGACATATCTTCTGACATTCTATTTGGCATTCTATCTGGCATATCTGGCATATCTTCTGGCATATCTTCTGGCATTCTATCTGGCAAATCTTCTGGCATTCTATCTGGCATATCTTCTGGCATCTATCTGACATATCTTCTGGCATTCTATCTGGCATATCTTCTGGCATATATTCTGACATATCTTCTGGCATTCTATCTGACATATCTTCTGGCATATATTCTGACATATCTTCTGGCATATCTTCTGGCATATCTTCTGGCATATCTTCTGGGCATATCTTCTGGCATGGCATATTTTCTGGCAAATCTTCTGGCATTCTATCTGGCATTCTATCTGGCATATCTGGCATATTATCTGGCATTCTATCTGGCATATCTTCTGGCATATCTTCTGACATTCTTTCTGACATTCTTTCTAACTTTCTTCTGCACATTTTGTCCCATATCTTCCTACATGAGGTCCGGCAGGGAACACTGGCGTGGATACTCGCGGTTGAGGTGGCCCGGCAGGGAACACTGGGCGTGGATGGTCGTGGTTGAGGTCCGGCAGGGAACACTGGGCGAGGATGGTCGTGGTTGAGGTCCGGCAGGGAACATTGGGCGTGGATGGTCGTGGTTGAGGTCCGGCAGGGAACACTGGGCGTGGATGGTCGTGGTTGAGGTCCGGCAGGGAACACTGGGCGTGGATGGTCGTGGTTGAGGTCCGGCAGAGAACACTGTGGATCGCGGGTCGCAGTTGAGCAAGGACGACGAGGATGACAAGGAGGACGAGGAGGAGGAGGACGAGGCAGGAGGAGGCGGAGGAGGAGGAGGAGCAGGAGGAGCAGGAGGAGGAGGAGGAGGCAACTGACATAAAATCTAACAACCCTCACCTGGCAGGTGGGGAAAAATGAACATCATAACATCATATGTATGTATATATACTGTATGTATATATATATATATATGTATATATAATATATATCGTGTATTTTACTTCTCCAGCTTTTCTTTTCGGCATTTTCCAGTACCTTCGGGAGTTTCCCAAGCTGTCAATTTTGAGGTGGCGGCCATTGGCAGCACTTTGAACACGGCGACCTTTGTTGGTTCATTTTTGGCCGGCCACGCACTTAGATGATGGGAAAACCGGCAGTTTTATGGTGATCTTAGTGATATTCATTGCGACAGTGCGACAAGCGCCAGTGGCTTAAAGGCTGATCATCACGGAATTCGGGTGCCCGCGGGTGTCATGTGAGGCATCACTATTCCGCAGAGAGCGGGGCATGCTTCTGTGGCCCTAATTGGTGCAATAGGAGTTTCTATTGGTCTTGCTTCTCTCTCGATGGTGGCTTGGCCCTGTTCATTTTGATACGAAAATCTAGGGCTTTTCATTTTGTTGCGATGATTTTGACCCCCAAACATGAGGGAAATCTAGGGCTTCTCGTGCTTCATTCCCTCAAGTTTTCACACAAAAACCATGCAGAGTTGTACGAGCCGAGCCCAGGACAACTCCTGCTTTTGATGTGATATGTTTTCAATATGTTCACAGACAGAATCATGAAGATACAATATTTTACAATCTTACAGGTGTTGGTATTGATTCCGTAGACGTGTTTGGTAGACTAGTAGATGATTGATATGTTTCTTTCAGTGCTTTGATGGATTCGTAGATCGATAGACCAATTCATTGATTCGGCCTATCATGTCATGAGACGAGACCATGTCGAGACCGCTAAGATTGAGAAATCCTTTGCGGCCTATGCGGCGGTGCTCTTGGCAGGCAACGGATGTTTCCACAGCTTTCTTTTTGTGGCCAGATATGGCCAGATATTGCTTGCAAAGTGCATGGTTTGCTTGGTTTGATTTCACTGAAGGCTTTAGACTACCCTGATTTGCATTTGCTGATAGTAACATTAGTAACATTGGTAACATATTGATAACATGCTCGAATCGTCGGGCGGCTAAATCCGGTCTGGCAATGCAAATGAACTCGATACCACAATGGAAGAAGGCATGTTGGTCGGACTCCCTGAAATTGTCGGAGAAATATATGAAGTATGGCCAAAGTCTGAGTCATCTACTGTATATCCAACCATGTTTTGTGCCTAGGGTGTTTCTATTTTTTGCCTATTAAACCTGCAGGTTTGGGTTTGGGTTCCACCAACTTGGCTGGCTTGGTTGCCCTCAACGCCACGGTGGCTGCGAAGAAACGGGCCACCTTCGTGGGCTTTGCATCCTGCCCCTTGGACTTTCATGAATGTGCCATTTGTGTGCTGAGATTTCTTCAGATATAATCTATAGATATCTATAGTCTAATGTAATCTTAGTAAAACGTTTCATTATACATGTTTACACCACCGATGTATGGTAAAAGTAGGGATTCTTTACTAGCATTGATACATATAGAATTGCATTGACTTGTACATAATATACAGATACTTTTCCAGATTTATGTGTGCACATAAGCAAAAAAAATAGTAGATGTAAACGGTTCCAACATCGGTCTCTTACAGGGATCAAGCATGAATACAGGTTTGGTATGGTTTGGTAATTTCAAATAGTGTTCATCTAATTATATAAATCATATACAGTAATCTAGCATAGGCATACATAGTTTCAAATCAGGCTGAATGGTTTTGTTTTTTATGCCTCTCCACTCGTGGACTAGCTAGACATAGCCATGAATGTCGAAGCACCTGGCAACCCCATAGTCAGATACCCCATCATCATAGTGTAATCGGGGATGATGCACTGCATCTGAGGCGGCACAAGTGTGGGCACCATGCTCCTGCCACATTTCTACACGCTGCTCACAGGCGACGAATACGAAAGCAGCGTTGCTGCTGAGACCATTTGTTTGGATCAAGTGGTGCACTCGTGTCATATCTATCTAGTCTATACATAATTATATAATTATGCTGTTTGAATTTTATTTATGTATTTATTGATTGATTGATTTAAGTATGTCTGTATTTATGTTTTTTTATTTATTATTTGTTATTTATTTATTTATGTATTTATGTATTTATTTATTTATGTATTTATGTATTTATTTATTTATTTATGTGTTTATTTATTTATTTATGTATTTATTTATTTATTTATGTATTTATGTATTTATTTATTTATTTATGTGTTTATTTATTTATTTATGTATTTATTTATTTATTTATGTGTTTATTTATTTATTTATTTATGTGTTTATGTTGTCATTTATGTTTATGTATATATTTATGCATTCACGTGTTTCTGTTTTTATCATGCATACAGAACACACAATCTATATATACACACAATAATATGTATTATGTATAATAGCATAGTTTATTCGGCACTAGTTAGTTAGTTAGTTGATCAGTTGATAATGAACCCATCAGCCTAGGAATACCGTACCCTTCATTGCGAGAAGCAAACTTTGGGTGATTGTTCAGTAATCAGTAATGTCAACCCCAGATTAAACCCTGGTTGATTCTGACCATCAACTGGGCTAATTCATATACATAGGGGTTGGCTGTGTTTACAGTAATTAGGCTGAACTATTACACTGATCCCTATGAAACAGCCCAGGGATCCTCATTCAACTGGGTTTGCGTCCTCTTTGCCCTGAGAAGCGATGGACTGGCGATGGGCGATGCGCATCAACTCTGCTGTCTCTTGCGTTTTCCTGGCTGCAGCTGCCCCCTTTTTCCGGGTGCAGGAGAACCAGGCCCGTGCAAAAGATGTTGGAAGCTGCTCAGGTGAGGTGTCCCAGGTTGTGGCATCAGTAAGATGAACGGCCTTGGACAAACCTTTCACAAACAGCTTTGAACAACGCACAAAAGCAGCAGGGACTGTTGGCATCTCCCACCAGCACCCGCACCTTGACTGGCAAGAGAGATGCGCAGCATGTCAAGGCTGTGTTGATGTTCAGAATGGAACTTTGTCGCTTCCACATGCTCTGGCGGGTCAACCTTACCCCCAAAGATTTGTGTTTCTCAATCAAAGAAAGTGAACATGCCAAAAAGATCCAAAAAGTGATAAAGACATGGCTATGGATCAATATCTATTGATACCATTTTTAGTGGGTTATTCACATCCATTTACCAGCTATTTTGGGGTTCACTACATGGATCCATTGGCCTTCAATTTTCACCTGTTGTCATTCCTTCAAGCACTGCGACTCTGCGACTTTCTGCGACGTCTTGGACGCTTCTTTTTTCACGCTTCTTAGGCCAAGTCGGGGCCAATCTTGGCATCCAGGAGCCGGAAGATGTGGCTCACCACACATCATAGTACAATGTGGGGCCCCCCAGTGATGTTAGTTGGTTTATAAACCCCCATAACTATAGTTATAAGATGTTATAAGTACCATAAACCATAGTTATTAGAGTTATAAACCAACTTAGCTATCTTGGGGGCCCCACATTGTACCAATATATACCAATATTTGATAATATTTGATATGATAGTACCATCATGATCATGATAGTACCATCATGATACCTTGACAAAGTATCATCATGGTCATGTACCATCCAACTACAACTGCTAGTCACAAAGGTCACAACACAACCCTCCATGGATTTGCATTATGTTGTACTCGCTTTCAAGGGTTGTTGGACTAAATGTCTGACTGCCGTAGCTCGAAGTGCAGTAAGTCGACTGTGTCCTACTGAAGGGTTGGGTGACTGGAGCCGCATAAGCGAGCTCAAGCGTATGAGCCAATGCAGCTTGCCGGATCACCAGCCCAGGCACCTGTAACTGGCATGTCTTTTGTCCCAAAAAATTAGAGAGTTGTGCATTAGCAGCAAGGGGAGAGACCCTTTCGCGCAAAAACTTCCAAGATCTTCACTGGCGGCCAGGAGGTGATGCGAGATCCACGATTTCTTTGTTGGTGGCTGAATATGTTTCTATGTTCCTTGCGGCAGATGATGCGGCAGATGATGCTGTGGATCATCGTTTTTTTGTTGCTGTGATGCTCGTGGAAGATTCACTTGTAGCAGACATAGCACCAGCAGATTTACAACTTAATTGAGAGAAGATTCGGATTTATGTTGATAATGTTTCTATGACCACGTGTCACCACTGTGTATTATCACAATATATATATATGTATATATATATACACAGATAATTATATGAAATTGAATGTGTGCTAAGCAATTTGCCACGTTTGCGTAGCTAAGAAATGTGATAATTATAGCATTTGGCCTTTCAACAAAACAACATGTAGCAGTTCACAGCAGCTGATCTTTTTCTGCCAATGAGTTGCAAGAGGGTGTAGCAGTTGCAGCTCAGGTTTCTTGGGATTCTATTTACCGCCTACATTGTTGGCTGAGTTTGCAAGAAATGAGCTGCATTTGTCAGCAAATCTGACCGCCGTTTGCTACTCACTCATTGGTAGCTTGGCAGCGATTTAAGTTAACAAATATGTGCTCCTATGGGCTAGTTTTGGTCAAATAAGTGGGGTTCACGTCCCCAAGTTAGGAGTGTGTCACATTCCAGAACCACGATTTATTTTAAATATTTAAACATTCAAACATCTACGGGTAAAAAGACCATGCGCTGGTCAATTGAACCGGGTGAAACGTACTTCAAATACACGGAACTCAGAAATCTTGAGTTGTCAATCGCGGATAGTTGTTTTCACAGAAAATTGTTCCAGGTCATTGGACAGATTATACATATTTGATATACCCTCTGGTAAACATACAAAGAGCTATTGAAAATGGCCATTTATAATGGATTTTCCCATTAAAACTGGTGATTTTCCATAGTTATGTTAAATTACCAGAGGGTATATCAAATAATCTTGTCCAGCTCATTGTAGTTCTCTTCCTTTCCCTCGTTTTCTTTCCGAATGAGTCGTGGCTGAGGAGTGAGCGGGCTCTTTACACGGCTGTCGTTGGGATGTCTCACCCACCTTCTTGGAGGGCCACGTTGCTTGGCTCATCAATGGATACCCCTGGATACCCCCCAAATATCCCCAACTACAGGAAAGTTTTTGGGAAAAATGATCAACATTGATTAACCTGTAGCATGCCATGGGGTACCAATATGTTAAATAACCCCCCCCACAGGGAAAGGAGGTTAAATAAACCAAGCAGCACTCGATGCATGAGCTAATGAGCTATTTGTTCGTATGTGACACAAGCGTATGACCATGAAGAAAGGCACGAGCCAGCGCATGTTTCCTGTGTTCGATCGTGCCGAACTGGAACATGCAGAACAGTAGAGATACTGCAGACTCTCAATCAAGCCCTTGACATACTGATTCCCGATGATACTGTTGGGTACAGCAAAACAAGAGCTAGCATTGGAGCACAAGTTTTGCCCAGTGTTCTGGAGGTTGCACCCAGCGCGATCCAAGGACGTCTTTTTTTCATGGCGCAACTCCTGGTGGGTGCGTTGGCATGCTGTTTGCCATTTTGTCGGATGCTTGGGCTTGCAAGATCCTTTCAAGAGCCGATAGATTGCTGTGGACCACAAAGAAAGGTGTGGGATGCGCAGCACAGGCATTGAGAAAGAAGATGTAAGAACTTGATGTTGTGTTTTGTTTTTTGATATTTTGCATTTAGTATCATTTAGTATTATTTTGATTTATTTCGTATGTTTGCATGGAAATGCATGGAAATGCGAACTCATGCTTCCAGTTGAAATTTTGACGGAGTTAAGGCAGTGTCAAATGTCCACTTGTCCAGAAAACATGGTCTCCAGGTCCAGCACAGAAGGGTTTTCTGCAAGAAATTCTTCAGGAACGCAGAATCTTTGCTTGTTTGGAGTGCAGTCTATGGCGACTTGGGTGCAATGCGCAGTCTACGGCCGCTGTGTAAGTCACGTGAAGCTGTCAGAGTTTGAAAGTTGTTGACCTGTACAATCTCCCCAAGCAAGAACATGCAAGAACTGTGAGCACTAACACACTTTTTACCATTCCCCCCTGGCAGTTTCATTTTCCATCATTTTCCCATGTGTTTTTTCCACCCAAAGGGCGGTTCAGCTATGTTCAGCTGCTTCAGCCATGGCTCGAGGTAGCAGCATTGGTCCAATCATCGCCCTGGTCTCCGTTGTACTGAGCGACCTCTTTGGGACCAAGGTGAGGGATGTGCCGGATGTGCCTGTGATATCCTGTGATCGGAGTATTCCAAATCATGCTAAGATTGATATTGGGAGTGACAAGCCTGCAATTTAAATATATTTAAATCAATTGAAGTGTCGGTCTTGATGTCACTTTGGTCGTGGTGGCCGTGGTAGTCTACAGCTACAGTAGTACATCCTACCGTTTGGGACTCATATGGCGCTCATGTCGTTCCATTCGTCACGAGGATTTGGCCCTGTACCATGGCTGCTCACGCACTGGTGTGGGAGTCGGCAACCTGCTGGGCATTCCACTTTTAAGCGCACGGCTCAGTAGTGGATCACTTGTGGACACGGGAATGACAGTCCAACCCCGTGTTGGCCCGTGGCAAAACGGGAAGCTTTGCAACCAGCCGGGCCCAAAACAAGGAAACTGTAGGAAAATGTCAGCTGATGCATTGAAATTGAAACGTAGCCAGAACTTGATCTCACAACTTGAGCTGCCAGAGTCCACTGCCCTTACGGACACGACTGCAAGGTCTGCTGGCAGAGCAGCAGGGCTTCACTGTTGCCCTAATCTTATCAGGCCGAGGGCAAAGTAGTGCTCCAGCTTCAATGGGGACGCAAATGGATAGGGCATGACGTGGCAATATGGTCATTTCTGTTCCATAACAGTTGCCTCCACTACGGTAGATATTCCCTGCATTTTGATTTTCCCCATGTTTCACAGGAAAATCATCCAAGAGGATTTTTCCATGGCTAGAATATCATGACTCATGACCATCATGGGTAGGTTGTCTTTGAAAGTTTCATTGCATGCCTGTCGACACAGGCGCTTTGGTGAGCTTCAGCACTGTCTTCCTGATCGTTTTAGAGCTCCTGCACAGAAAGAAACTGCGGGATGAGGCTGGGAACCTGATACGACCTCTCCTGTCGTTCCTGTCTTTGTGCACATCGTGGCAAATCAGGGACAGCTTGAATTCATGAAAGTGTTAGTTTTGATAGTTTGGGAGTGACACACAACGTAGTGTCAGATTATTTTCGTCAACAGCACAATCACAGACTGCGATGAATGCCGGAACTTCCAGTGGCAATGGCGGGTGTCGCAACACCACTTAACTTCATGTTTCATCTCACAAGCCAGTAGGTGTAGTTGCACATCATGCTCATAGTGTCATATTACAATATATACATGTATAATCTATATTATATCACTATTATATATAATATGTATGTATATAATGTGTATATATATAGTACTATATATATATTACTATATGTATTACTATATGTATTACTATATGTATTACTATATGTATTACTATATGTATTACTATATGTATTTATGCTATATGTATTACTAAAAATGTATTACGATATATATATATATATTAACCTATATATATATATATTAACATATATATATATTACTATATATGTATGTTACAATATACATATACAAATGTACGTATAAATATTTATATGTATTAGTATACATGTATTAATATATTGCTATATATATACCCACATACATACATACATACATACATACATACATACATACATACATACATACATACATACATACATACATACATACATACATACATACATACATACATATATATATATGTATACGTATGACTTGTGCGCAAATGTATAATGGCAGTGCCATGGCGGGGCCCACGGGTATTGATCAACCTATCTTCGGCAAACTTAAAAAAAAAAAAAAACATCTGCTTCGCATCTACAGTTTGATGATGTTTGATTGGTCTATGAGTCCATTTGCATTTTCTGCCAGAAGAGAAAAAGATATCGTTGCACTGAACAAGCATTCTCCGTGTTCGCCACAGGTTCAAGAAGGCACATGCTGAATGAGTGGCACAAAACTGTGCCAGGGTCTGGCTGGGAACAAAGTTTCTCGGATAAAAGATCGGAGTGGACACCATTGATTTTGAGGGTATGCCAATCAAATCCATGAAACACACAAGTATGTTCAAGGCCATATGCTGCAATATGTTGTTGTTGTGTGTATATGTTTATGTGTATATATGTATTATATCTGTTTATACCGGCCACGATGATTGGTACACGCTGCAAAAGGCTCGTAGAGTAAGTCAGTTGCCTTCGGTGGAGTGAGGTAAAGGAGTCCGTCGTATGGTCATGGCGACCCAAAATTTGGATGGCAATGGACCCAGAAATGGTCAGTCTGGCTGCCAGTCATTCTGAGGACATGTCGGACCTGAAACCATCCGGATTTATGCTGGTGGCTTCACCGTTGGTCACAGCTGTCCTGTCATCATGGTCTTTGAGTTGCCACATGTTTGAAGTACAAGAGATGTGGAGTTTGCAAATGCCATGTCACTTTTGTTGCCATTTCAGCATCAACCAGGTTAGACAGATCAACGAACATTGCAACATTTAGCAGCCAGTCAAACAATCAGTGCCTAGAAGGTCTGAACGTGTGAGATTCAAGACGGTCAAAATCGCGACCAAGAACAACCCAGAAAGATACAGAAAAAGTCAGTACGTTGTCTCAGTTTTATAAGACCATCTCAGGTACATGCGAGAAGTATGGAAGATGATGGAAGATGTGTCCATATGTGTCCTATTTTTCCAGCCCTTCTGTAAAGGGCGAGATCGCAAGTTTCTACAAGTTCACATTGCCAACTGACTGTGCTATGGATGAAAATCTGGGGTGTTGCTCCATCCCGGCGTTCCACTGCGTCCACTGCGGCTGTCCCCAGGCATCCTAAAGTTTTTGCTCCGCTGAAACTTTGCTGATTTCCTACACAAGAAACCTGGCCACTTCATGTTTCAACATGACAAATCCAGGGACGGCAGTGGATTTTTATTGCTCAAAAAACTCAAGTAGACAAGTTGGAGATAGACCGGCGACTTGTTTGTCGCGACTCAGGCGAAACATCACCACCACACATGCCGGACAAATTCTTGAAACATAGGTTGAACATGAATCTCAAGAAAGCTGCAGTGTTTTGGCGGACCCTGCCTTGCACATGGTGGTTATATGTGGTTGTGGTATGTTGTGGTTTGGTTCAGTTGCCTGTAGCACCAAGAAATTCTCAATGCCCACCTTCAGCTCGCTTTTTGCGTTGCAACGCAGCGATTTGCCGCCATGGCCACCCGGAATCGAAGCCGGGCAATTGCCTTGGCTACCCGGGTATCAAAACATGGTGGGGTTGTCTGAAAGTACGGTGCCAGTTTGATGGCTGATCAATGCTGATCATAGATTTCCCATTATGGTTTCCCTATTTGATATGTCATTCTGGGATATCCCCCCGTTGACCCATGTTGACCATTTGATTTGTGTCATGGTTTGGCGGGATGACATACCGTACAGCTCGTAAGGCTCTCTTTATCTTTGGCGGTTGCTTCATCACTCCCTATCCTCGACAAAATGGTCGTGTCAAAAGCTCCGTCACGCGACGGGCGGAAATGGAGGCCGAGGATTGAAACCACCAAGCAACTGATTGTCACCCAATTATTGTTGTTTCATGTTGGCTCACAGTTCATATCCCCATTTTCTTGGTTCAATTTTGATTTCTGAATATTTGTTGTTGAAACTTGTTCCCTGTTTTGCCTGTAACTGTGCAGTTGAGCAGCTGTTTTTCTTGTAGGACCAAACCGACATTCTCGCCAAGGTGTGAAGGGCAGAGATTGACTTCGGTCTCTGTGTTTTTTCGTGGTCAGGCATGAAATTCGGAAAAACACGATGGGAAACTCAAGCTTTTGAAATGGCTAAAAGATGCTTTCAAATTTCAAAGTGTGAACTGTTTTACAGTATTTATGGGGGGATTCTTGTGGTGTTTCTTCAAACTGTCCACAACATTTGAAGCAAAAAAGTCGGAGAAGGTGGTCCCAGTCGTCAGGCGCTGGCTGGCGGTCCACCTTTACGTATCGGCGATAAGGGCTTGGAGTTCGAACTCGGCAAAGGTGCAGAAGGCAGGTCAGTCATGGCTAGAGTCGGCTAGAGATGGGATTACCCCATTTGGCAAAGGAAGAGTTTGCTATGGAAAGATTGGAAAGCCATCATTTTTCAGAGATTTTGTGGCTGCCATAGCTAATTATGTTAGTTTATTGGAGGCGATCTATAAAAAGAGTGTGGGAAATCCATGGTTTTGGCTGGTTTCCCAAGGATGGCCAGCACGTCCCTGAAACCACCAACCAGCTGGGTGAATTTGAGCGACCTCACTGTAATGATGCTTGATAAGGGAATTTATCCCCATATAGCCTTATTATTGATTATTATTGCCTTATTTCAGGTTAGTGATGTTTTAAAATTTTACCCAGAAGCAGCATATGATGTCATCCGAGCAGCCAGAGATGTGTTGAGATCAATTGGAGGCTCCAGTGTGAAGTGGGGCCTGCTCAAGGACCGGAGTCCAGGGGGAGTGAAGCCAAAATCTCCAAGTCCTTGAGACCGAAAAAACGTCCAAGATGTCCCCGACCCACTGATCTTACTGGGCGGTTCATAAAGAAAGAGTGGTGCCCCATATGTTTAACGCCTATAGATCCTATAGCCTATAGAATCTATAGATTTCAATGATGTACCAGTTGTTTTCTTTTCAGGACACAACATCAAATTGATCGTGCAGGTCCCCAGAGATTTCCACTTGGGAGGTGTCTGCCATGAGACCATCAGGATCAGGGATGAAGCGGTTTACACAAGAAGCGTAGCTGTTTTGATGGCAGGGCATCACCAAATAAGTTTTCTGAAAATGGGGAATCGGAAAAGCCAACATGGCAATTTAAGTTACCCTCTGGTAAACTAACATAGCCATGGAAAATCACCATTTTTTATAGGTAAACCATCTATAAATGGGCCATTTTCCATGGCTATGTTAAATTACCAGAGGGTATATAGGAAAAATGATGATCCACCGTCGGGTCAGGGTGATCTTCGGGAATTGTGCAGCTACCGCCCCCAAAATGGGGCGCCATAGCATGCCATAGCTATTGAAGGGCTTGTCCAAAGATGGGATAGCTAAAATCCACTGGTGTATCATCATTTCGATCATTTCCCCGGTTGAAATATGGCCAGAACTTGGGGTGTAACCACCATGTGTGGACAAACCATGTCAATTATGCTGGTTCGCTTGCACGTTTGAAGGTGTTGTCATTCTCTGTCATGTTTAGTAAGTTTAGTATCAAAAATCCTTAGTATGCCCCATTCCTAGATGCCATGTTCTATAGACTCTGTAGTTTGTTGGCACATGAGTCCCCAAAAAAATGGGGGGGTCCCCAATGATTTGACAGATTCATTCGCCATCACTGATTAAATTCCCAGTGTTAGACAATTTGGGCCGGTGAAATCCACCAGAAATGGGTAAAAAACCAGGTTGTGCCGTGCCTCAACGGCCATGGTACGGTGTCAATTCATGTCAGATGATTCGCCGGCAGATAACCTCCGGTCCGTGGCATTTTTTATTTTCAAAACAGGGGAAACTATGAAAATCCATGGAAAACCAAGGGAAAATGATCATGAGCCATTGGAAAACTGCGGCGTTTCCCACATGTTTCCCCCGTCAGGAGAGGACACCTGAGGTGGACCAATCCGCAAAAGCGCGAGAACAGCGTGCAGAGCTTCGCGCCAAAGCGGCGCGAGACTTGGTCCCTTGGAAGATCTGCGCGTTTCCAAAGGCAATGATGGGAGAAAATTATAGAAATTTCAGATTTGGAGGTTTATAGCTGGGATCATCTATAGATGATGGATTTTCCAAGCCATGTTTGATTTTACCCAGAGATTGAGCTGAAAATAATTGGCTAACTCATAAGATTGAATTTCGATCAGGAAATGTGCGATGTTTCACCACCCAAAATGGGTCTTTTGCCTATAAAGATGTGGGATGAAGTCACTAAAAAGGGTCTGTCACCACCAAAAAAACAAATTATATAAAAGGAAAAAAAAAATGGATTGATCCTGGAATTGGATAAAGATTGTACCGATACCACCGCACATTTCTGGTTGGTGCGTTCACATAATATGTTTCATTGATTTACGCCTTAAAATGGGATGATGTTAAAAATCGACAGAAGCAAACAGTTTGGCACAGTTTGGACTCTTAGTTTCCTTTTCAGGTCAACATTGACGATGAAGAGCGGGAAAGACGACGTGCACCATGGCAATGAATCTTGCAAGCTTGCTGATGAAATCACCCATGAAGGCTTTAGTTGGGGCTTTAACTAACCTTTTGAATCTATGTGACGGGGATGTTTTCTAGGTGGGGGAGTCGTTTACAATGTTTTACACTTACAGTAGATATTCTACTCCAGGACGGGCAGAGTTTCAGAGAAAAGTACTGGGTTGAGGTTGCAAGCTATGCCTTCGCAGCATTTGCTGCACTTCTTGCACTGCGGCTTGGCATCATGGAACCTGGAAATGTCCTGAAGAGATTCGGCTGGAAGTTCTTGGTGAATGATAGTGAATGTTTGTTGATTTGTCCTACAAATCATTGTTGATTTGTTGGCTATTCCTGAAAATGAGTGATTTCCCAGTAGCCGAATGGTTTTGGTAGATTTTTTGGTGAAAGTTTCCAGGAGGTTCTTAGAGGTCAGGGAACTCATCGGCTTGACAATGCCCGACATCAAGGTACCTGCTTTGGAGTAATGCTCCATGGTATAGCCGCGGGGCGTTGTTTCCTGTGGTTGCTCTTGCATGGGGCAGCTCGGCACGGGAAAATCTTCCCAGAGAAACTGAAGATGGGGATTTCCAGCCACGCGTGACTACGGAGGGTATGTGAAGGGAGCAGCTCTAATATGGTGGAACCAGCAGACTTGCGACGTGATTATGTTGTAACATTTGTGTATTTGAGCGCGTGGGGGGAAGGAGCAAGACAAAGAAGAACAGGGCTTTCAAATGTGTTTGGACTGGCAGGCGTCCCAATCTTGAGACCCCATAGGACCATCAATCCGAATTTCCCCCAACGTTTGCCCATAAGGATACAATCTCTCAGCAAAGGAGGGACTCTGAAATATCGGGCAAGCTGATCTCTGGGATGTGGATGGAACTGGCATGCAAAAGATTGAAGACAAAGAACTGGCCCGGTCTCTTGGAGGTGACAGCTGTCTCGACACCACTGGGCCGTTGGGTTTTTCAATGTGTTGAAAGTGCTGAAAAGTCCGGGGAGATCCAGGGGAGCCTCTTTTACTGGTTCCAGGATGGTTCCAGATGGTTCCTTCTTTTTCTATAATTTTCTCATTTGGCCCTCGTGCAGCCTGTTTCGTTGTTTGCATCTCGGTGCCCAAAAGAATCCGAAAGATGTGGAAGTAGCAGTTTGGCGCAACTTTGCTTCAGATGTTTGACGTGTTTCTTTATTTGTCAACAACACAACTGAAGATGACAGGCAATCAAAGTCACTGCTCCCACGACAAAAGTCCGCGGCAAAAATAGAAATGCAACTCAGGAAACTACGTGAAAAAGTCAATGACTTCAACAAGTCCTCAGCCGCCCTTCCTGCAAGCATCACAGTCGCCTTCATGGCATTACCAGAATTGTTTCGACAAGTTTTCGGCTAGAGTCAGAGGCTTGGACTACATGGTCCTCCAGCCTAGATGATGCAGGCCCTGGATTGTTTAGAGAATTTCGTGTTGAAAAGTAATATAGCGGAAGGCGCGGCAGCACCTTACAAAGGATCATGATGAAGAAAGTTAAGTGTTTCAGAGGGAAGACAATCATTCACGTCATCCACGTGTTCACCCTCAAATACTGGGTTTGACACGTGTTCAACTTATTTAAACGCACAGCCGCAGACGGGGCCAGTGATTCTGAGCAGGGTTGTGCGCTTGCAGCAACAATGCCTCAGATTGTTCAACATGGCTTTGAGTCCAAAAAATTGGATGGTCTAGTAAAGTGCTATTGATCCAAAATTATCCAAATCTCTCTCACCGTGGCTACTGAAAGTTGCTTCCAGCGCACGGCACACAACCTGACCAGTTGAGATGCCTCGAAAGCTGGCCGCGGAAGAGGTGACGTACGGAGCACTGGAGCAGCAGCTGGTCTCCGAATTGTCTTTTTCTGGAGCATCTTGATGCGTTGATAATTTTTGATATGGTTTGATGATTTGGCTATCTAAGTTTATGTACGTAATATATATATATATAATGTAATTATATATCCATTATATAATTTATATATATATATATACATATACCTTGTCTAATGTTGTATATAATTATGAACATATCTACACGGTGTATATATATATATATAGATATAGATATAGTGTAGATGTCTATCCAAATGATTTTGATGTTGATTCATTGTTGTGTGAAAGCATTGATGTGCTTCTGAATTGACTCAGAGAAGCTCCATGCCTCACCCACGCTGCCGGCGGCTTCCGCAAAAGCAGAGGTTGCAAAATTGAACGGGGTCCTGAAGACAGAAGCTGCTGATTTTTGTGCAGCAACTAGTAATCTCAACAAGACTTGCACTAATTTCAGCAATCTCTGTGAATGTTGGTGCATATTTTTCGGCCGCACCGTCCCTTAGATTGCGATGAGTTTAGGCGAGACTGACTTCTTGACGGCATTGGCGTTGGCAGATGCAGATGATTTGGTTGCAACTTTGCAAGTAGCCCAACGCTGGAACCAGAGTGCTCTGGGGTCGACAGATATCCCGAATGGCCTCGAGCAACGCGTTTTGTGTGGTGACTTATTGCTGAAGGATGCAAACAAGACATCCAGCCTTCACTTCGCAGGATGGTGCCTGCCAAGTTTTCTGATACCGCTGATACCGGTACCCGGAGCAAAAGCTGATGCATTGGTTTGATGAAAATAGGGTATACCACCTGGTGAAAAGGCCATTTGAATGGGGAGAATGTGAATAATCCATTTGGATTAGGTAGGGATACCCTATTGTTAGGCCAAACCCAGCTAGATCCAGCTAGGAGGCCTATGGATCATTCACTCTTAGCATTTTCACTTTGCAACAAGCTCAAGGGTTCCTCTGTCCGATGCAGATCAACTAGGAGCAGGTTTCTTGAGCCTTTGTTTCCACAGGGGGTCTCACTCGTGTTCTGAAACGAACTCTGCCACTTCGAATCTTTGACTTCTGACCATCTCAGCATTCGCTCAACTGCAAGACTGTGGATCCCGCGTCTTTTTCTTTTCCTCATCCAATTTGAATTGCAAAAGATAGCATGAACGTCAGGGTAGTCCTCCGCAGATAGTGCAAAATGCTACTAGCACTGAAAGCTCAGCTTTTGCCAAGAGTTTTCCAACTTCTCTGTGGGAGAGTGGGACAGTGAACATACGCAGAGTTTCAGGATAGATATGTCTCAAAACTGTGCGCCTCCCAAAATCCATCCAAAATCTATCAAAATCTATGATATGTTTATGATTTATGATAGATTAATCCATCAAAATGTTCATGGTTTATGATATCATTTCATGTATGTCATAGGTTTCAATAAATATCCCCCCTTCATCCAACCTTGCTATTTTGGGGGCCCCCATGAACACCAGGCGCGATGCGTCGCACCAGAAGAGCGACAGGCCGCAGCCTCAATGGAGGGAAATCATGTGTGAATGGGACTTAAAATTCATCTACCATCATCTACCAATGATAAATCATGGAAAGATCATGAAAGATCATCTTTGGATATTGTGACGCATCATCTACCAGTGGGGTCAAATCATCTGAACAACGGCAATGATGGCAGAGGCCAGAAGACGTCCCGCCGCCGCCAGATCCACCACGACCCAGGACCGAGAGGCTGGGCATGTCATGGTCAAGGATCAACAAATGGGGATCCCAATGGATGAGTGTTCCCTTCAAACTGCCCATTTATAGATGGTTTACCTATTAAAAATGGGGATTGTCTATTCCTCCCCATGGTTTTTGGCGCCACCCCAAGCGGGTTCAAACAAGGCCTGTGTCATCTGCCGGACTTCGAGTTTTAGCTCGCTTGCGCAGAGAGGCGGGTTGGTGGTCCCCAATGACTGCTGAGCCATATTTTCCCCGAAACCAGCAGTTTGGAGATGTTTGGAGGGTTTTGTATTCTGAAAAGGTGTGATCTGAGATTTCAAAGGCTGATGGTCCCAGGAGACTTAAAGCTTCTGTTGAGGTTCCAGTAGACCTTCGCTTGGACAACCAAGAACTGCGCTGTGCAGAAGATATTCGTGCTGTGGTGGAGGCAGCGAGCATGGCGGTAGCACCCCACACACATTTTGATCTCACGCCATTATATGTCTGAAAATTACTTATGAGATCTTACCAGTAGTACCGCACAAGGCGGTGGCGGAAGTTTCAAAAATAGGAAACCTAAAGAGATTGGTTGTTGTGAGTCACGGATGCTCTTTCTCTCTTTTTCTCTCTCTTACTCTCTCTTTCTCTCTCTTTCTCTGACTACCTACCTACCTACCTAGCTATCTATCTATCTACCTATCTATGTATCTATCTATCGATCGATCGATCTATCTAGTATTATCCTATCGTATATTATATTATCTTATCTTGTCTTATCTTATCTTGTCTTATCTTATCTTTCTATCTATCTACATATCAATCAATCAAACAATCAATCTATCTATCTATCTATCCATCTATCTATCTATCTATCTATCTATTTATCTATTTATCTATCTACAGTATCTATCTATCTATCTATCTATCTATCTATCTATCTATCTATCTATCTACAGTATCTAAAGTATCTACAGTATCTACAGTATCTACAGTATCTACAGTATCTACAGTATCTACAGTATCTACAGTATCTACAGTATCTATCTATCTATCTATCGATCGTAAGATCTATTAAGGATGATAAGATGATTTAAAATGACCATTTGACCATTTGGGCAGGCCTGCGCCGCAGAGGCCCAAAGGCGTGGGCAGCCACCGCCCAAGACGCTTACCTTGGGCCCATGGGGACCGCGGGGATTCGGAGAGACAGGTGGATGAAACAGGATGGATACCCTGTAGAGAACCCATGAAAACCATGCCCCCAAAAGATTCCTCTACAAAATCAAGACCCCTAGGGGTCCATTGCAGCTCTATGTCCCTGCAAGGATGTGCAGTGTTGTGTGTGTGTGTGAGTTTTTTTTGGGTAGTTTTTAATAATGTTTTGGATGCCCTGAGGTTTAAACGCTCTTAAATTGAGTGCAATCAGCGACTACAAATCAGAAATGTTGGCCAAGAGCTTCTAAAAAATCAGGAACAAGGGCAAAAGAGCGCTGAAGAGCCTGCCTCTACAAAATCAGAGACATAGGCCTACGGCCACTTAAAGCTTGTTCAGGAGCGGCTACAAAATCAGAAACACCGGCCAAGAGCCAATGAAGAGCAAATTGATTGGCCCCTGGTGCTGGGGAAAGGCTGCCTACATATCCATCACATTTCATCGCCCCAAAAAGAAGTAGTTGACTAAAGTGTGCAGTTTTAGGCTTTGGCCTAGTTGAGCATGGGTTTGTTGCAATTTGACAATTTGAATGGTTGATAGTCAGCAACGCAGCTAGACGCGAGTCAGACCAAACCGAATTCCACCGACAAGAGGAGAGAAATTGGAACAGCAGCAGTTGCCTCTACAAAATGGAATTTTGTGCCTGTCAGTGTTTTAAGGGTAGACCGGGTAGACCAAAGTTTTTTCACATATTTTTGATTATTTTTGAGGGCCTTCCCTGTTCCAAGTAGCTATTCTGCTCAAATGTGTGCTCATGCCTTGACATGTTGCATTGTCACTGAGTTTGTAGGGTCAGCTTGGCTACCGTGTTCCGACCCATTTGATCGCTTCGTATTTATTCAGCTGCGGCGACCGCATCATTCAATCTTACCCGCCAGTGAAAACCCGAGCTGACTCATTTCGAAAAAGCAATGAATCAGAACACACGCATTCGAGGTCCTGCTTAGCTCGGGGGTGTTCGGGGGTGATATATAGCGCTGAAGGCGCGTGCGGCTTGTCACCCCACCGTTCCTGGACCATCGTGCGGAAACAAGAGGTGCCCACGAGCATCCGTGCAGGGGGCCAGTCTGGCAATCCAATTTGAATGCAAGTCAACGTGTATCCCACGGCCGCAGACCCCTAGAGGGCCAAGCCCTGTGGAAGGCAAGGTCCAGTTAAAGCGGTGCCAAGGCTTCAAGGGGAAGAAGAAGGAGATAAAGAGGAAGAAGAAGAAGAAGGAGAAGGAGAAGGAAGGAGAAGGAGAAGGAAGACGGAAGAAGGAAGACGGAAGGCGGAAGAAGGAAGAAGGAAGAAGGGAGAAGGTAGAAGATAACCAGCCATCTTGACTAGAAAAAGGAAAAGAAGAAGAAGGAGAAGGAGAAGAAGAAGGAGGAAGATAGCGGAGAAGCCGGCAGGTTGCCATCATCTGATGGCAAATGCCCTCACTGTGCAACCTGCGGTTTCACAGCGGCTTGCGCACATTTCTTTACTTGTCTCCCACTTTGTCTCCCAGGTTCCCCACTTTTGTAGAGGCAATTGGTTCTTATAATCCTGAAGGTGCACCAAAAATGGAGGGGTTGGGTGCCCTGATTTTGTAGAGGCAACCTCTTGCTACATTTGGAGCAGGTTCCCCATTCTGTAGAGGCTTGGGGCCCTCTAAACTAGGTTTGTGCCTACAAAATGTGACCCCCCAGCCCCCCCAGGTCATTTTTGGGGTGATTGAAAACCCATGGTTCCCTTAGGAAAGTGCATCTATTTTAATTTACAGGAGATTACAGGAGGCCATCTCATAGGACAAGGTATCATGTCAAGTGTTTTCATCGGCAAAACTGCCTGCCGGACTGGGGACACTGGGAAATTCGGCCAGGACATGACTTTGGATGCTCGTGCCATGTTGGCGTTTCCGATGTGGCAGTGCTTCCAAGGGAGACAAAATGTGATGCAGTTGAATCTGCTATCGAGGTGCAGAATAGCGCAGACTTTTGCATTTATATAACTGATCTTAATCTGCGCAAGAGCTTGCACATAGAGATCAGAGTTTTGAATGAATTTTCATGGAGGGTCAGATTCCAACATATTCGAACTGCAGCACCACAAGCACAATTATCCCCGCAGTTCCAGTTTTGATGCGATTCGCAGGTTTGTTCCGTTGTGCAGCTGAGAAAGACTTGCGCAGGCGTTTCTGTCCACTTGCGCCATTTGGCGACACTGGCCGCTGCGGAGCATCTGTCTCAGCGAGCTGCGGGTGAGTGACAGCGCGGTGCTGGGGAAAGCGCTTTCTTCAGCAGCGCCGAAAGTACTGCGTGTCAGAGCGGCACGTTGGGTCTCGGGAGAGTCAAGGAAATTTGAGCTGAAATCATAACATCGTAAATGATGACAGACCCGGTTTTCGGCAGAATGATGGAAAATTCATGGAAACTACATTTAAAAAAATACATAAAAATTGAACGAACCCATTTCTGCAATTTGTACATTGTTAGTGTTGCTCCTACACCGCTTGAACCTTACACTCAGGTCGTGCACGTGTCCAAGCGTGTTGGATTTTTATTGATTTGTATTGATTGTTTCAAGCGTTGAACTTTGACAACTACTGATAGTCCTTCCAACATCATGTAGGGACACCAGGGGTCTGATCTAGTTGAATATGAATTTGTCTGACATGATGTGCCCAAAAAAACGATGATGATAATTTGTTTCGCATGTCAAGGGCAATTTGGTATCAATTGGGGATATACAGAGTATAACATAGTATAACCCATGTCGGGCCAAACCCTAATATTTGTGAAGCTGCTGTTGTTTGGTCCCACAATCCCAGGTTTACAGCACTTGGCTTTGAGGAGTGCAGCGGCATCCTTGCTGCAGGCATTTGCGGGTCATGAACTGGAGCTTTTGGATTTGCGCCTCGGCTGCAGGTTCTTGGTTTTTTTCAAACATCCACACTGATCAACTGGCCAACTGAAAAGAACTGATTCTTGCTAGGAAATTTTGGCGGGTTTTGCATTGCTGTGGTGAAACACATCGTGTTTCATTGCCTTGAGGAGTGGAAACAATCTTAGCGAAGACGATTTTGACCTGTTGCTCAAAGTTGCAGGTGCTGGGTAAATCTGCTGTCATCGAATCCGGTATCCGGCAAAAGGGTTGCTATTAAACGGAAATGATTCACACTAAAGTCTAAATTGAAGAGAAGCAAAAAAATACATAGATAAAAAAATATGACAAAACTAGTAACTAATATAAATAGATATTTATAGATATTTATAGTACTTATTGGTACTGAGAACCACGACATGTTGGATATTGCAGTCACGTGGCGTAGGCGCTTTGAAGCTGCATGGCCTGGTATTGAGCCGGCTCCTGAGTCGCCGGTTATCCGTGTCGTTCGTTTACCTGGTGCAGTTGTTAAAGGAACCATGGTTCATTAATTAGTTAAAACTATTATAATTATAATATATTATTATATGATTGGTAAAATTATATAGTTATTTTATGTTATTTATAATTATAATAGTGATAAATTGATAAATTGATATAAATTGGATTATAGTAGTGATGATTAGTAAATTACCTACTGCAAAAAGTTGAATGATAATAGATGATAATAGTGAAATCAGTGAAATTGATTTATAGTGATCAATTGGATTATAAAGTACTTCCCATATGGTGATATCTATGATCATTTGATACTTAAATGGTAACCCCCCTCCAATGAAACAGCCCTTTGGTGTTTATTAATCCAGGGTGTTTTTCGATTTTGACCTGGCCGAGGCTGCAATCCGAACATCAGCCAGGCTCGTTGGACATGAGTCGGCAACCTCATAGTTGACCTCATCATGACATGGGGACTTAAAAGAAAAGACATTGGGGATTTAAACATGCATTTTGTCTTGAGGCGTTCATATATATATATAGAGAGAGAGAGTCTATTTGTTCAAGATGTTGTTTACAAAAGTGAAAATCCTCCAGTCTTGGGATTCAAAAATCCGAAAGGTGGGATTTATATTCGAGTGATCCATTTCATTCCATTTCCATCGCAGGTCTGCTTGCAGCAACTCTTGTCTTCCCCCTGGGCGAAGCAGTTGCAGTTGTTGGACCTTTCTGAATGCAGTGTGAAGCCTGGATCGTCTTGGATCATCGTGGATCACTGAACTGGGTCAGTTCTCCCCATTTTATCCACTGAAAGGTTGGCACCAAAATGCTGAAAAGTGGATGGAAATGGAGGATCACGAAACAAAGTTTTTTTCACATCATGGAATTGGGATTCAAAAATCAGTCTTTCATCATTTCATGGAGATCTGATGAGATATGACCCTGGAATCCATTCATTTTCACCCCCAAAAAAGCTATAGCTGGGTATCGGATGCCAAGGCATTGGTCCGGCTGGGGCGATGCTTCTGGAAAGCTTCCTACAAAGCTCAGAGTGCTGCTTGCGGGACCCGATGGAACCCGCTTTGCTGCAAGTCCAAGCAAAATGGTGCCCGAGATCCAAGCATCTCGCAACGGGAGAAGCAGTCTCTTCTTTTATCTATTTTTATCATTTTCTATCTTCATTTCTTGGTTTTCCATCAAGTAGAAATGATCTGCCTGAAACCCAAGCTGAAATGCAGCACGGTCCCGAGTCATCAACCCTCCCGGTTCCTCAGCATTGTTTCTCACGGCGTAGGATCTATGTCTCTACCGCACGGGCATTGGATCTGATGGTGTGTCAGCAACCCAGCATGTGCAATTTTGATCAATTTTCATTGGCCAACCCTCTACTATGTAGAATTATGTAGATATATTTCAAATTTGACCCCTTTTGAATCCTTTTGATAGAACCGTATCGAGAACCTTCTACCCAAGATATGCTATGGACTGACTCTGACGAGAAACCTTCCACTCAGATATGATTTTGATTGACCCTGCGCTTAAAGATAGAACAAACATGAACAAACACGAACAAACCTTCTGATCCTTCTGCTCTGAGATGGTTTTGGTTTATCCCTCCAATTGTAGCATGTTGTGGCCGCATGGAACCAGCCATACAGGAAGCAACGGTTTCTCTTTCATAGATGCGTTTTCTTTTCCTTGGCTGTGGCGCCGAGCGATAACCGGAAAGACAATCAAGGGCAAAGGCCCTACCAATACGTATGCTAGAAACATCGACAAACACCAAGGCGAAGATCTGAAATAAGAATGCTCATCAGCCGATGCTGAATATTAGCCCATATCTCTGCGTTTCCCAGATGTTCCGAACCTGTTTCTGAGACCAAAGTTGTTTTTGGGTTCAATTCCTACATTGGACACGACCGATCACCCGCTCAAAACAAGAGGTTGTTTTTTATGGTTTCTGCCCAGGTTTTTGACATCCATCAGTTCAGCCATCCTTTGCCCATGAATGTCAGTTCGGCCCTTGTTTCAATAGCCAAGGTAGCCTTTTTTGAAATCAAACCAGTCCACTTCAAGGGGATTTCCCATTGCCCTTTTTTTCGTGGGAATGTTTTTGTATGTTTCTGTCCCAGGCGCCGCTTGGTTGCAGCTGCAGTGCCCACCTTACGTTCCCTGGACATCACAGCGAATGCCCAGCATGGCGATGACTGGATGGAGGTGCTGGGATGGCATCGGGGTACCCCACCAACCAATGGGTAGCCTCTGGTAAACATGCAAAAAACTATGGAAAATCACAATTGTTAATGGGTAAATCCACTATAACATCTATAAATGGTGATTTTCAATAGCTATGTTAGTTTACCAGTGGGTAAAAAGAAGTAAAATGAATTAAATAGAAAAACTCTATGAAAAGCCAATGGGACGGACTGCCAAATTTCTCCAAAAAGAACATCATTGGGGAGTGTTTCCACGGCTTTTGTAGGCCACATGTTGACCGTATTTCTTGGCTTAGGGGCTCACAATCAACTGCTCAGTGGTCACAATGGTAACGCTGGCACCTAGTTGTGTCAGGCACTTGGAAAGCCTTTGGCCACCTGCCTTGCACAGCCCAAATCGCTCAAGATTCTGACCTTGTCGTGCCCAGAACGTCAGTTGAAGGCACGGTCCACTGAGTGCTGCTCTGCGGCTCCAAAGTGAAGAAGCCATCTTGAACCCATGAAGCTCATGTTTCTCAGGCTGCAGAGATCTTTCAGTCCCTGCCCTTGCGGGTGATCTTGATCCCCAACGAGCAGAACAACTACAACAGGCAAGTCATAGCATGCCATGGCTGTGAGGAGATTCGCCATGTCGGAACGCCAGGCCAATGTTTCTTGGGCATGCCGACTGACTCGAACCGAAGTGGAAGAAAGATCACCTGCGCGCTGAAAACAGGCCTGCTATCCCATGCATCATAGTAGGTTGTTTGCCATTGTTGAGCTGCAACACTACTCATCATTCATCATCATTCATCATCATCATCATCATCATCATCATCATCATCATTCTGTATGGTATCGCCATGTATCACCGTGTTATCAAATGCAGATACATAATGATACATCCCGATACTCGATCTGCAACTACCAAGGGAATTTCTAAGATCTTCTTGAATGCTGAACAGCCAGACCGGCTACGCGTTTGCGATCCGCAGTCGTTGCTCATCGCCCGCGGTCGAGGGTGGGTGGAAGCCATGTTTCGACCTGGGGGCAAAGGTGGCGTCAACTATGGCTAGGGGCCTAGATTTGGCAGTTTCGCAAATTTCTCATCCTAGCAATAAACAAACCCCTCAATGATCCTAAATGGGATCCGAAACGAAGTGGTTCACCAATATTTGGAAAGGGATTGCTTCTGCTTTCGAAAGAATTTGGAATAGATTGTGCTGAAATTTGCAGTTTGCCATATGCAAAATTGCGAATGGTTGAGAATCCTGTGATCTTTAACATCACCCTAAGGTGGGTCTTGGGGGTGTTCGTAGTGATTCCCCCCCAAAGGGTGATTGCCTTCGCCAAAGTTGCAAGGTGACATACCGCCAAACCAGACGCTCTATGTGATCCTTGCGCTGTCTTGGTTCGGGGCAACGCAGAATGGCCAGTTTTGATCAACTCTTTCAGATTCAACCTGAATGAACCTGGTCTACCAGGCAGCCAGGCACAAGCGCATTGAGTCGCCTGACTCTTGAGATTTTTGTTTTTTCCATGCCAGGTGAACAACTTGAACGAGAAGATCAAAATTTCAGAGTTGAAGAATTGCCTTCTTGAGCTCTTTTCCAGTTATGGGGAGGCCGGCCCTCCCTCGATGTCTGTTTGATGTTCCCTCCAGCACTGCACCTTTGGTCCTTCGCCCATTGAGGTCATTGACATTGTTGCGGCTGGAAGTATGGCCAAGAAGGGCCAGGCCATAGAGTCCATAGAGTCCATAGAGCCATTTTTTTTTCCGTTTCTGTTACCGGCTGCGGAATGAAGGCAGAATTCATAGGACTTCATCTATGTTATTCATATATATTCATATCTAATTAATTCTAATTATCTAATTCAATTCTAATTCATACATAGCCGTATACGTGTGTCTGGACACGCGGGAGTCAGCCATTTCTTGAAGTTGGATTGCAGAGGGTGTACCATGACTCCATGTTTCTCCATGTTTCAAGGCCTTTGTGGTCTTTAGGGATATTTCCTGCGCGACCAATGCGTCCTGGATCTCAGAGCGCAGACACTGGCAGACACTGTTGCGCACCGCAGACTGATCGTTTGAGACTGATACAAGATAAACATAAACATATATGAACGGATCATATATACATATTATAATATACATATGCATTTAAGCATGACAGATATTTATGTACAGTATTGTATAGTGTATTCATGATGTGAAGCATGCTATGTAAAGTTCATGAAGTGGAACTCTCAGCCGGGACAAGGTGGACCCAGGAGTGGACTCAGCAGATCATCCTTGGTCCTAGACCATCTATGTTTTGACTGCGTGAATTCATGTGATTGTCCATTTATTTCGTATCCCCATCAGTTGGATTATATATATATACGTATATATAAGTTATAAGCCTCATATAATCCTCTTTTTTGATGTAATGAATTCTAGGGATACCTGCGGACTTGACACCGTCCTTTGGCGCATCGTTGAGTTTCGCAAGGCTACGAGCGCTGAATGGCTTCACCTTTCTGGATAAGCCAATGAAGATCAACTATTGCAGGAGCTGAAGATCAAATGTCTAGACATTTTATTTGGCAGAGCTCAACTCCTGGGCTTTTTAATCTTTTCGTTTGGAGTACTACCATGTTGATAGCAGGTTATAACATTGATAATATTTGGGGGTACCCCCAGTGAATCAAGCATAAGTTCTGTGGCCATGCCAGATCCGTCCAGGACCAAGTCAGACGTCGTAGCACACGAGGACGACTCAAGTGTCGAATTTGCAGACAGTCCCAGAATTGGACGATGGGAAAGTGTTCAGGAAAACCATGGAAAACCCCATGTTTGATGGTAAAAAGATGTAAAAACCATGGTTTCCTCTATTAGATGTCCCTTCAATCCATCGATTGAGACAGATTCAGCAAGAATTGATCGAATCGCAGCTACTGTATGAGAATCTGAGAAGCGATGACGGCCAGCAAGATGCAAGATATTGAACCATATTGAACCAGTATCATGGCATTGCGCGGTGCAAACAGATCATGAATCATCGGTAGTGCCAGGCTTTGTGCCAGTTGTTGAAGTTAACCTCAGCTGCAGGATGGAACGTGGAAGCCTCGTGCAAAGCTAGAGGCGCAAAAGGAAGAAGCAAAGAGGACCGGCCGTCGGAATGGGTCAATCCATTGGATTCCCCTCTGGAAAACATACCAAAAACATACAAAAAACTATAGAAAATCACCATGTTCAATGGGTAAATCCACTATTTCTATCACCATTTTCAATAGCTATAGCAGCTATGTTAGTCATTACCAGAGGATACCAATGGACCCACAAACTTGCTGAGCGGAGGGTACAGGTTGGACCAAGCAAGTTGGATGGTGGGCCCATGACCTACCAGGCCCAAGACCACCCCAGCTCTTGTGCCTCCCAAGAATGCCGCGCTTGGGGCTAAGCATCAAAGGTTGATTCCGACATTGCCAATCTTAGAGATTTAATGACATGTATTAACTATATTATCATGTATTCAAATCTATGTTTGATGTTGTTTGTAGACATGACCAAGTAGACAGAGTCACTGTGCAGAATTGGGGAACATAGTCCGTGCCTGATGAATTTTCAAGGCCAAAGGCGGCTGCACATCCTGCTGGGTGCGGCCCCTACTTCTTGCACGTTCCTGGCCGTATCCCCATGGTGTGAAAAAGCCTTAAATGTGTCTGTGTGATTAAGATTGATTAAGAATGAAGACAGAAAGTGGAGTGGATGTCCGTTGGTAGGGGCTCTAGTTTCTTGAAATGGGAACCAGATCATTATTAGCCACCAAACAGGTTGTATCGTTTGTAGATCATATGTGCCAAGGCTGCCCAGCATGGTTTATGTTCCCACAAAAGGGGGTCATGAAGTCATCAATCCATATCAATCATATCAATCCATCTTCTGGGTCGATCGACCCAGAAGGAATCCCATTCATTAACCATCATTAACCCATTCATTAACTGGTTGGTGGTTTGGAACATGTTTTTCCATTCAGTTGGGAATGTCATCATCCCAACTGACTTACTCCATCATTTTTCAGAGGGGTAGGCTTGAAACCATACCACCAACCAGATGATTATTAACCATCATCAACCATCATCATTAACCATTATTAACCAGATATTAATCATTAACCATATATAACCAGATCATTAACCCATTCATTAAGCCATACATGGCATGACTACACCCCATGACGCCATGAAATTTGACGCCGCCCCAGGGGTGATCCGGATGGCAACGCGTCCAACGTGCTATTCGTGGAGAATTTGCCTGCAGAGGCGTTTTTTTTCTGTGCAGAAAACCTGGATTTCATGGGGGTCTTGTGGGATTTCATGAAATTTAATGGGATTTAAGTGTGATTCAATGGAATTTCATTGGATTTGATGGTGATTTAACAGGATTTAAGTGTGATTTAATGGAATTGAAGTGGATTTTATGGAATTGAATGGGATTTAATGGTGAGTTAAAAACGATGGTTGATTTAATGATGGTTTAATGAGTTACTTAACATCAATCAATGGGAAACATATGGAATTTGTGGGGATTTGATGGTGATTTGATGGGATGTTGTGGTGATGCATGGGAAGTTGACCAACAAAAAAATTGAGATCATGATGATCTGACCTGGGATGTGATGGGATATATAGCACCGGCAATTGCGGAATTGTGGTTTGTCTAAAAATGGTGAATAACCCCAAAACAGCTATGTCATTGGTGAAACTGATGATAAACCAGAAAATGTCGGGATAGCCCATTTTCAGAGAACACACATGGCTATAAACATAGCTAGCAGTGTGAAGTCTTAAACAATATCTCTCAAACATTCTTAAACCATCCATGTTGCAAAGGTTTTACCATCTATGTTTGTCGAATCCTATGTGATTCCAATCTTTGAAGCCATCCCCTGCGGAGCGTGTCAGGTCAATGAGCTCATGTTGACGATGCTCTTCAGACAATATCCCGGCTTCCAGGAGGTGACTATGCGACGTGAGATGCCTACCAAATACTTGGATAAATGACTACACTAATTATGAAATAGTATTATACATCGTAATGACTCATTCTTTATAGTAATTTATTCTCATTGTGACTATCCAATGATTACAAAATGACTATATATATATATACATATATTTATACATATAATATGTTTGGAGAATGTTTGATATTCTTATAGATATGTTTTTGGAGATGGGATGAAACATGGTAGATTTCAGATGTTTTATTTGGAGATGGGATGGAAAATGATGAAACCACCAATCGGATTGTGGAGATTGTTGCTGATGTGTTACCCTGGCTTCGTGCTCTCCAGGCACGCCTCATCAAGGGCCGGAACGTCGCCTTCATTGAATACGCGGACGAGCTTCAGGCTGGGTTGAAACCCCAAGATTTCTTGCAGCTGTTAAAATTTCAGGTACCCTAGGATAAAGTAACGTAGATGTGAAAAGCCCATGGTTTCCCTAGGAGAGTGATCTACAAATGGTGGGTTTCCACATCTATGTTCTGGAATGGCAAAGAAGAGTTGAAGCAAAAGCTTTGGAAAGTCTTGTCTCAACCGCTTTCCAGATTCCAGCAATCCTGTCTGTTCCCATTGGTATCTAAGAGGGCCCAACCTACTCCAAAAACCAAGATAAAATACCATTAAATATCGCGGCTATAATCTGCTATAATCATCTATAATCCAGTATAGAGTATAGATTGAGATTTCCAGTGGTGACACCAAGAAGTGTCGTGACAAAAGTGACTGATTTTTGAGGCTGGGATTGCCAAGCATGGCCTCCAAGGTTTCATGGTGCCTCGGCGTGGGGGAATGTTGGGATATGTTGATGTTTGGCAATGGGGATTCTAAGGATTCCTATGCTAAATTGCGTGAAAGGTACAGCACAACTACAACTTTCAAGAATTGTGACTGTTGAAAAGATTGAAAAGTCCTTCCTTTGGCTTGTATTAATGATCCTATGTTTGTAGCTGAGAGTGGATACATGATCCTTTTGTAAACTTTTGTATGGCCCATGGTCACATGTCTTACGACAAACAGCGGGGATCAGATGTTTTTGAGCAGTCACTAAAAATTGACTTCATTGAGGTGACACCAGAGATGGCCTTAAAGATTGCCTTCGCGAAGCAGTGATGGCATGATTCCTCTGCAAAAATTTCGGAGCACCTCACTATGTGTGTATTTCAGCTGTGATGGGAGCCCCCCAGTCAGGGGGGGTAGCCGAAAATCGTCCTGCAAAATGGGCACCGCCACTGCTGGTTGATGATATGCTGGGAAGAACAGGCTGGTTGTCAATGCCTGAAATGTCCGGCTTCATCCTAAGGTAGATCCCAAAAATGTGTCTTGAAACTTTACAGGAAAGTGTTTGCACCTGTGGTGCGCAAAGCCCATGTTAGAATGGCAGGACATCACAGCAACTGTCTGGGAAGCGGCGTGTCACGATTTGGTAGTTGAGAGGAGAAAATGCAACAAATCGTGTGGGCATTTCTTTGTTGTCTTATGATGGGACATGATGGAACATAGAAAATCAATGCAATAAACTGACCAATGCAAATGAGCAAACTTGAGTGATCAGCTTATTTCGTCCGTTGGTCTAAGTCAATTTCCCAAGCTCCCTCAGACCCATCAATGTCCAGAGGAAGCCTCCATGAAACAACAATCCAACAGTTTGAGGATGTTAGAGGATATGAACCAACATCAAAATGGTGATTTCATTCACTGAAATAGGAATTCGGCAGAAGGACCTGCGGAGAGGATGTTCCGACCTCCTTCCACCGCTCTCTTTCTTCAAGTGCAACTGGGTCTTTGTGGGCAATCTACAAGGACAGAGATGCACTGAGTCAACGACAATGAGCTAGAACAATCACGAATCATCAAGAATCTCCCTATGCCCATATGCCCCTAAAATGGGGGTACCCCACTATGGATGGTTTATAATGGAAAATCCTATTAAAGTGGATGATTTGGGCATACCCCTATTTTAGGAAACCCCCATCTATGCTCCAGCCTCAATTGCGTGGCGAAGACCTGAAAAGATCAGCTGTCATCTACAGCTATTCTTGGGACCCTTCAACAATACTGCAACGATTTCCTGGTCGACGCTTAAAACCTGGGACCTCACCTCTTGACTCTTGCTTCATGTGCGGACGCGGAGCGTCCGGGGACATAGTGACATAGTGCTGGTTTCAAGCGTCCATGTCATAGAAAGTCATGCTGAAGCTGGATTCAACACTGCTAAAGTGAGTTCTAGTCTGCCGGAAACCTGGGGATACTTTAATTAAGGTGTGCCCTTCTGTTTCGATTGCAGGCAATCTCTCCATCATCTTCATTCATTCTGCAAAGTTTGGTCAGGTTAACCCTCTCTGGCGACAAGTGCCGGCGGATCGCAGGGGGTGTGCAGAAACCCAGGAAGGGGCCGACCAGGGAGGAAAATGCCCAGGTGAATGGTTTCGGCTATTTGTTTGGCATTTGAAACGCGCATCTTTTACTCCTGATACAACTTGATACCCTTGAATCATGAAACAGGGCTATCTGGAAAACATTGGAAAACTCTAGAAATGTCCCCTGTTTTTCCCCTGGTTCCCATGACATTTTGAGGCCCGTAGAGGTGGTGTTACAAAAGTCCGCAATGCTGAGAAACTGAAGACCAAGTGCCCAAGAGCCGGCTGCGAAGATGGTTGGTTTACTGCACTCCTTCAAAGGGTATGGTGCAACTTTTCAAAGAATACTTCATATTTTGTTTGGATATTGTCCCTGCAAAAACACACTGCATTGCCTCAAAGGAAGATTACTCTTCTTCAGAAGGGTGTGTTTGTTTTGAATACTGCATTTGTTGGCAGGTATGGGGATGTTTTAATTATGGTGAAGTCATCTAGCATATTCTGCAGAAATTGTGTTTTGTTGAAGAGACGCTGTAGTAGCATTTATCTAAGGTAGAGTGAACACCTGGACACTTCTTCAAGCAATACATACTCTCTAGTGGACATGAACACAGCTTCAGTTGTAGCTTAAGTTTTATCATCCACTACAGTTTTGAAAATAACAATAAACAAGTGCACTCTCACAGCGTCCTGCTCTCTTATGAAACCGGTACCAACGAGGAAAGAATCTACTGCAAAAGCACAGCGACTTTCCATGTCGGTCCAGAGGTACAATCTCGGACCAATGAACTATGTCCCAGTGGTGCGGTCTGTTGAGGGAAGCCGCGAACTTATACTACACTTCCTCTAGAAGGTGCACCTATTGCGAAGTTGCTTGAAATATCTTGAAATACATAGAATATCATAGATTCTTGATGAATATTGATTGGTGTGTAAATATCTTGGAATACATGGTTGAATAGTTGAATACATGTAATTTTGAATATTGGTAAATCCAAAGCATATTGAACGACGTTGGAGCACCGGCGTGTTGAAGTCAGTTTCGTTACAGCCGCTTCCGTTCAACGATGAGGTGGACCCTATGCGAATTTTGATCGCGAGGCCGAAGACTTGCTTGCGGGATTGGCAACGATGGGAAGTTGTGAGTTTGAAATTGCCTCAAAATCGCCCAATCCAAACCTATCTCAATTATCCATCCATTCTCTTCAGCTCGTAGTTTTTGTTGATCTATTTCTCCGAAAGCGCGGCAAGAAATCCGTCAGGTTTGCGCCATGAGATGGGGTCTGGTGCCTTCCTTTGCCAAGAATGAGGAGGAGTACAATGCCTTCAAGGGTGGCAATTCCACTTTCAATGCACGGATAGAAGGTGCAATTGGCTCGGAAGTGTGTGCGCTTTGTCGCTGCAGCTTGATTTGACCATGCCATGCTCGATATGAAAAACAGTCCAGTCTTCTCCGTTTGGAACGGTTGGAAAGGTGCTGAAACCCGAAATCTCTGGAGACGGCTTCTGGACAAGCGCCGCTGCATCGTACTCTTTGATGGCTTCTATGAATGGAAGGCTTGAATGAAACAGTGTTGTTAAATAGATTTAAATAGCTACGTAGTCTAGAAAGGTAGAAAGCATGTCTAGGTTCTGGATGGAAGATGATGGAAGCCTGTAAACATATTATCATAGAAGATGAGATGTGGATGTGCTATGACGGCTATGATGTTCTCTGGGCTGATTGGACAGGGCTCACAAACCCCCCCTTCTGTCATGGAATATGCAATGTGTGTTTGGTTTGATAGACTTGATATGTGTAGTCAGTCAAATTGTATGGGGTGCAAAAGAATGGATAAGCCTGCATCTTTAGTTTGATCATGAAATGCAGGGCAGAGTTTCGGTTTCCAGCGAATTACAAAGTGAAAGTGAGCTTATATGAGATGTGGCCTGGGAATAGTTGTTTAGTTTGCCTCTGCATCTTGATGACCCCAGCCTTAGAATAAACTCAAAAAAATAGTCAAAAGCACATATAATAAAGAACGAATTATAGATGTTTTTTTACCTAGTTGCATTATATATATATGTGTGTGTGTGTCGTTTTCAGTGCCATATGCCGATGAGGCCCTAATCAGTTCTCACAACTGTCAGCCCGGAAAGGCCCACGTGGACGGGAAGACGAAGATCCCGATGTTCATCCGAAACAAAGACGAGTGCAGCCTCACGTCCATGGTGATAAATTATAGTTCCATAATTAGATCAATGTCATATCAGATATCATAGAGTGATTATGAATACCGTGTTAGATTCGAATTAGGGGATAATATCATAATATCATGATATCATATGATATCATATTCAGCCATAATTCATCCAGAATACCATCATTCCATGTTATTTTTTCCAGAATGCGTAGCAAGGGTTCCCGTTTCACTCTGGGGGTCTGGGGGTTGAGGGTGTGTTCGCTCGACGTTGCGTTTACGTCCGCAGCCGTCCGCAACCGTTCGCAACCGTCCGCAACCGTCCGCGCGAGGGCCGTATGGCCATGCCTATGGTAAGTTCTGCAAAAGGGGTCACTTTTGGAGGTTTCAAACATCGCGTTGCTTCGTTTCGCGTGGCAGGCGTGGCGCTTTGTGACGTTCAGACGTGTTTCGCTCATGTGTCTGGAAGCGTGTCGAAAGTCATTTTGTCTGGCAGACGCAATACTCCACACTTTACACTTTACACTCCACACTTTGCACTTTACACTCCACACTCCACACTCTACGCTTTACACTCCACACTTGGCACTTTACATTCCACATTACATTCCACACTCCACACTTTACACTCTACACTCCACTCTTCTGCATTCCACAGTCTACAGTGCGCTGGCACGGTAACAGGGGAAACATGCACAAGATTGTTCAATTAATATGTTTCACAAAAGTGTTCTACGTGACTGCATTCGGGTTCGTGGGCTGCATGTTGTTGTTATGCAATTTATAGAGGCCTGAAAGGATCATCCAGGATGAGCTCACCACAGGTACGATGGCCACGTGATTCCATGGCCCAAAGAAGAGGTCCTGTCCTGGGTCCCGGAGCGGGAGGAAAGCGATTCATTGGGAAAGAGACACCTTGAAGAACCATGAAAAGATATGAAAAAATATGAAAAGATATGGATACATTTGTTTCCCTTAAATCGATTTAAATCGTTCCACTATGTTCCACTGACCTTTTGCCCCGACTCAAGCTGACAGAAAGTGAAGTGATATGCGCGTTTTCAGTTCTCGTCCTGCAAGGCAGAAGAAGATGAGAAGCGCTGAGCCAAGTCTGGGGTGAGAAAGAAAAACCAAAATCAACCTGAGACGAAAAATAATCTAAGATGGTATTATCTAAGATGGTGATGGAATATGATGGAATATGGTGGTAGAGTCTAGATAGGATATTACTCCGACATCAGATTGTTGATTGTTATCACTTATTATCCCATTAAATTCCATTACTATCCCATTATTAAGTAATATCCCCATCAAGAAACATGGTCTATTTCATCCCTATTCATAAATCCCATTATCTCATAAACATATTTAACATCCCCGTATGTAGTAATTTTAGCAAATGTTCGTTGAAAAAACATGTGATGCCCCGTTTTCCCTAGGCGAGATGGCCACGCTCCGCTACTGCTGGCTGGTCTGTACGACACTTGGCAGGTGCAAGCGCCAAGAAGCTGAATTTCGACGGGATTGGAAACATCAGAACTGTGTGGGGTTGTTGGAAAAGTATATGGATTTATATTGGCAAATTGGATTGATGTGTAATGATGTGTAATGATTTGATTTATAATGATAAATAATATAGCATTATCTTGTGAGTATTCAACATAGTATGTATATAGAATAGTAGGAATATAAAATTAGCAAAATCCCAACGCAGGATTTCTTTTTGATTCGTCCCGGTGCTGCCGCCCCATCGCCAGGATGACTCCAAAGAGCTCTTGGAATCGGTCACCATTCTGACCATGGATCCGCAGCACACGGCCATGGAGAAGGTTTCAAGATGTGAATCTGACAATCTCAGGATTTTTTAATGGATGTGTGGTGTTTTTGTTCATTCATGTTACAATTTGTGTATACATGTATGTACAAGAGGAATCAAAAATAGATGTACGGCTACATGTGCGTACATACAGCAAGTGTGCCTTTTTGTAGTGAAGCAACTGTGCCCAATTCATCGCGTGCGGAGGTTCACGATCGGATGCCCGTCTTTCTCACACCCGAGTCAGCGCCGCGCCACTCCATGAGCTTCGTTCATAGACCTGAGTCTTTCATTCCATAGCTGCCACTGTGCCAAATAGATGGAAGTGGGGAAGAACATACTTGATCCTTCTAATCCTTCTGCACTCTTTCATAATTCGCGTATTCGCAAGGAATGTCGAGCGGGGCAATATAGCTGGTGAGAACGAGTGACAGAAGTGTTTGTGTCCAAAAATGTGGTAGCCTACGATTCAAAGGGTTATCAAAATTGTCCCAATCAAAATTGCCATTGTGGATTGTTGGGTACCGTGGGTACTGCATTTTCAGCCTGGCTACAGTAACCATATCATGTCCCGTAGCCTGTGGGCTTGGGCATCTAGCATGCTTCAAGACATGCAGATCAGTACGCAGTCATTCTACTTGGTTGCCTTCAACAACCTATTGGAGCGACGCAGTTTTGATGAACAATTCTACAAACTTGATAAATTCCGAATCAAAATGCAACAGAGACATAAACAACAGTAGCCTTCTGTGGCAAGCCACTGCTATTCCATTTTACATTTGAGAACAGCAGCAACAACAACAATGGCGCAGCAGCAGCGGCAGAGCACCAGACTATTGTTGATAGCAGAGCCCATGGCGCGGCCTGTGTCCCAAACCTGCGGTCAGTGGCTGAGAAACAAAGAAGTGAGCCCAGTGAAATACGGATGTGATACGATTTGCTGATGCTTAGTACTGCTTAGTATTGCTTACTGATGTTGTACTAACGGCATCTAACGGCTATGTTTACTTGGTAAGGCAGTGCATTAAACCCACCAGGCTCTTGTTCAGCTACAGAAATGATTACAAGTAATGGAAAGGCCATGTTTGGTGGAGGAGATCATCTAGGGTCAGCTGGTTTGAGTGTGACAGGCTTCCTGAAGCAATCTGAAATGCTTTGAATCCAAGTATGGCCATATTTGGCCAGTCAAGATCCAGGGCAGCCTGTGCTTGTCATGCATCTTTGTACATCACATTACAAATCATTACAATACAGTACATTACATCACCCAGGCAATTTCTCATGCACCAAAGCACACAAGGCGCACAAGACTCAACAAGACTCAACTATGACCAGCAGCTTCACCAACAATCTTTTGCCATGAAATATCTCCCACCAGGATCCACCAGGTACATATATATATAATTCATTGAAATCATATTTGTAGAATTTTGTAGATATCTACAGTAGTTCATACTTTGAAGAAGATGTGCCGTTCCTTCAAACTGCAGCTATGAGACATTTTCACAGCCAGAGAGACCTCTGTTGGCGGAGACGCCATGAGTGCGCCGCCGTCATGTATGCTTCCCATCATCTCAAGCCAATTCTGCGGCCTTTTGGCTATTTTCTCTCTGCTGACCCGAAAGAAGGCTACACCAAAACAGGACTGACATGGACCTAGATGGACTGACAACCACCAGGTCTGCATCTTCATGGCCAAATTTGCACGCTGCTACAGGAGCTTTCTGCAAGGGAACGCTGCGAGAATTGGTTTTTGCTCTACGGAGTTTTTTGGATCAGCTGCTTTACTGTACCTTGGATGCATTGGATGCATGCCTCAAACATCTTCAAACCACACCATGATGCGCCATGATGGCCCATTTCAACCCTGTATTTTTAATGATTCTGAGGCCATTGTGGCCTTTGGCTTGTATGAACAAATGGACAAGTGGGGATACCTGTTGGTCTGTGGCGGTTTGGCAGCTCCCTTGCTCTTGCAACCAGCCTTGCTGCCGTCGTTGACCAAAGAATCTTCACTTCCATTGCTGCAGCGGTTCTGCACCAAAGCGAACGTGTGGATCGCCATCTTTTCGTTTTTAGGTGCGGCAGCAAAGCGCAAACACGGGTGTAGGGTGTTGAGAAGTTACATTATGACTTTATTGGATCTCTTGGTGAGTAGCGAACTCTCAGGAACACAGGTTCGCTTTGCCCTATTAATTGACCGATCGTTCCAGAGCACGGGCGGTTCAATGATGTTCAAAGGGATGACTACAGGGAACAGAATGAAAAGACCTTGGTGAGAATTGCAGATGGATCAGATTGTTGAGGGCCCGTAGTGCAGTTGGATCGCTTGGAAGTAGATGTTGCAATAGCTTACAATGTGTTCTTCTCGCCTGAGCTTTCTCAGATGCCAGAAAGATCCAAAACGGGTTTCAGACACCACGCACGGCCTGACTAGCTATGTGAGGAAACTATTGGGGCACGCACTATTTCTATTGTGTTCTCAAAGCGACGCTCACTTCAAGCTTATACATGCTTATACTGTATCATATATGCACACACCAGTGGTCCTTGTGGGTGTGTGGTTTTGAGTGTAAGGAGAAATACCATGAAATACGATGAAGTCCAGCACCATGCGCTTTGCAGTTCTTGGAAACATCATTTCTTCATGCAAAGCATTATGGCACAAGTTGATGCTTAAATGAAGTATGTCAACAGGGACTGGGTGGATGGGTTCCCATGGCACCATGGACTCTGAGATCAGGAAATACACTCTTCCTTTCTTGCCGTCACACCAACTGAACGGAGTACCTATTAGCATGTGCCTTGGAGGCACACATCATGGCTGGAAATGTTGATGGACCGATATGGATTGTGTCTCAAAATGATCCACTCTTAGCTGATTTGGAGAGAGGCATATATATATATATAACTATTATATATTACAATATATTACTATTATATATATATTAATATATATATATATATATACATATATCATCAGCTGAAGGGAACGCATTTGAGGTACCTTGCGACGCACTTCTACTTCTGTAGCATGGCTGCCATGGAGCTTGGGATCCCAAAAATGATGGGCCATCCCTTGAAAAAGCAAACTGTTCGCTTGTTGGAGGGGAACCAAAGCTGGGAAAATGATGTCTATTTTTTTTTTATATCGTGGTTTGCTATGTGGTTTCCGAAATTGTCCAAATGAATTTTGGAGCGGTGAACTGAGGCTTCTACCATGCACTTGGGAGCAAGGTTCTGCGCTGGGTCAGTAGAAGCTTCGAGCCGACCATTTGGCGAAAGATTTTTTATGTTTCGACTGTGCCACGGCTTCGAGGAATGCCTCCAGTATTCAATCATGGGCAACGGGGACTCCCCTAGAAATGAAGATCTTTTTATAGGGGAATCATCTATAAATGGAGGATTTTCCCCTGCCAGCCTCAGAAGATCACTGGTTGTAATGGAGGAATTTCTTGCCTGTTTGTCCATTGTTTATACCTATGAAACATGGTGAGGGCGAATAAATATTACAAATTACCAGAGGGATCCAGAGGGTATGTTTCACAAGCACCGCTGCTGTTGCCAAAAGGCTGCAACACGAGTTGCTCCAAGGTGTGCGTGATGTCGTACACCGTTGCCTTTATGGAGACGTTCACCATCTCAGCATTCCCTTACTACACATTCGAGAATCGAAGCCAGGCCTATACCGTTGGTTGCTTGACTAAACTATGAATGATTGGATGATTGGATGATTGGATGATTGAATCATGTTTAACATTGTTTAACCATGTTTTAACCGTTGAAGCTTTTGTCTAACATCATTTAAGCAGTTGTTCATGTTTATATATCCCCCTGTTGTGGATTATTGGATGATGCGGTAAAAGATTTAACAAAGGTTCTGAACAGAGATGTCTAGGGGTCTATCTTGTGGGAGTTGTGCCTTTTTTTAAAATGCCAGTTTCAGTGTGGCCACTGGAGCAGCAGTTGGATACGCTTTGGATTCAGAGAACTCAGGCTCGGCCTTCTATGCAATTTATTTGGTGGTTTCGTTGCCCCTCTTCGCTCGTTTGGACGAAATGCCGGGTCAGAGCCCCAAGCTTTGCAAGCATTCTGGAAAGTCCACAAGTCCACTAGCTGCATCGTGACATATCGTGACACATAAGAAGCGCAGACTGTAAGAAAAGGGAGGATTTGAAAAGATGTGTAAAGATGCGTAAAGTGTGTATGTACACTAATATGCATCTCCCATGAGTACATATGTACATAGACATATATCAGTACTTAAATAGAAATTACTCGTATCAGTACATACTGGTATGTACCTATAGACATACAGACATGGAGGTTTCCCAAAAAACAGGGGTAGCCCCAAATCATCCATTTCAAATCATTTCAATAGGATGTTCCATTTTTTGGGTACCCCCACATATGTTTTTGCAACAATCGCCATCCAGGTGGTCATTCCTGTTCAGAAACGGCTCTGAATTCCTTGGGTGCTTGGGCGGCCGTGCACACCATGTTGGACATAGCGCTTTGGTGAAGCAAAGTGGTGATGCAAAATGGTGATTTCGTGGGAAAAACTGGGGGGGTTAGTGGTGATTGAATGAAATCTTATAGGGATCTATTAAGGGTGTAAACACCCTCAATGGCCATCTTGATGAGAAAGTGATACTGTAACTATTTGTAACTAATCCATGGGAATTGGGGATACCCTATTTTCAAACACTGCCACCTTGAGATTCAGACTCTGTTGGAGTGCTTGGATGTAAATTCTTATTTCTGTGCGAAGAATTTTCCTTGCTTTCCCTTTCCCTGCATTCAGATTCAATGTGTTCCTCCCAACGTGCACAATGATGAGCCTGGACACTTTAGGGCCAGTTCCAGAACAAACTTGTGTGTTTTGAAAGAAAACCAAAATCACAGCTTGTTCATTTTCGTTGTGACTGCCATTCTTACTTGAGGTTCGTTTGTTCCTGGGAATCGAACTTCGCATCGCTTGAGAAAAAGCTGCAAGCGAGGTCTTGTGCTGGTAGAATGTGCGACCTAAATCAACTGTTGTAATGGCATGTGTACTTGCAAAACTATCAACCCCTGCAAATGGATGGTTACATACTATTAGACTATATTGACTATATTGATACTTCTGATGGGCTTGATGGTTTTCCCACTTGAGGTTGAGGGGAGAAGTGATCTCAAGAGGCTTTTCCCAAATAATCACATTACCTGACGATATTCGATATGAGAACTGATTGAGAACTGATGTGATATCTCGGACACGGTGAGAACCGGAAGCCACGTCGACGTCGCGTCAGCTCGGCAATGCTTTGAGGCTCACCAGCCAGGGCCAGTGAGGCCCGCGAACACCAGATCAGTCAGGGCCGTCAACGCTTTGCGAATCACATCAGAATCACTTTACTTTACATCAGTCATTTTGTTGGGGATGGTAAGGATAATGTAAGGGTGGTAAGCTGGATCTCATGTGATTTGACCAGTTTTTTTTGCCTCTGAAAGACCATGTTTGACCATGTTTAACCCATCTGAAAGCTGGTGTGATCTCGGCTCCAAGGTTTGACAGACTGGCTGCAAGGCAGCCGCTTGTTGCGACGCTTCTTCCTGAGCTTCAGCGATCCTTCCTGGGCCGATGACCCCAGAAATCACAGCTTCATCCAGTTCCCAAGTCTGTTGCTTCCCAAGTTTGGGCGAGTTGAACCAATGGTGCAAGGCTGTTTCATTGATTCAGAGAAATTCGAAAGAGGTTCCAATTCCAATGTTTCATTGTTTAACTGGTTTATATTTCAGAAATGTTCCAACAATTCAGTGAAATCTGAAACTGTGGGTGTTTAACAGTGTTTAACGATGTTTAACGCCTAGAGGAGGTTCCTACAGCCATGTTTTCGCCGTGTTTTCAGGCCGAGGTGGCGAAGAACCTCTGCGTTTTGGGGGTTTTGTCCTTGCAACACCTCGCACCTGAGAATGCCTGGTCCGAGATCCCAGGTGTCTGAGAATATCTGTGAAGGGTCGTATTCTAGTGGGGAGATATATGGAAAATTCATGAAAATTCATGAAAATGATGAATGAGATATGATGAAATATGGGGATGAAATGATGAAATCTGGGGAAATATCGGGGAAATATAGGGAAATCTGGTGATAAATCATCATATTCATCATGAATCATGAGAAACGATGATCAACCGTCAGGTCCGGCGATGACTTGGCCGAATTGGTTGAGCCAGTTGGCCCCGGTACAGATCAATGGAGGGATTCATGGGGTTTTTAGCGAAATGGGAAACGGTGGTTGAATGGGTATTTAATGGGGATATAATGATAGAACCAACTGAAATAGTGGTTTAATGTGGTTTAATGATATTTAAATATATTTAATACATATTGAATTGGCTTATATAACCAACTATATCCAAGTTGGTGTCTGAATCGGGTATATCCCGAAAAATGGCAATTCTAATAGAGAAAATGATGATGAACATAGATTGATAGTGATTGGCCTGTGGATTTTGGGGTTCTCTATTTTCCGACAAACCCATGTTCCACCATGGGCTTGGGTTGTTTTTGTTGCAGCACCCTGCAGTCCATTGGTTTCAGTTCGCAAAACGACAAAACGCTGATGTGTTTTACAACCAAACTTTGTTGTAAATCCCTTCCCCCTAATATAAAAAAGCCCTCAAAAAACCATGGTTTCGTAGGGGATTTTGGGACATTTTGGGACCATATGGGAAGCTTGCGGCAACATGCAATATAGACAGCCAAGTTCATTCTGAGAGTATTTCCATAGCAACAGAAAAGAAGATTGATCCAAAGTTTGGATTTGTGCACAGACATGTACAGACAGGTGAAATCAGGTGAATATGTAACATGCACATGTGTCGATGATCGATGGTTGCAAGAGGACATAGGTACATAGTTGCACAGAGTTTGTGACACGACGCAAAGCATTTGAGTTTCGAGGTTGGTCCAACGTGAAGGATGGCCAGAAGTGGCCACAAAGCAATCACAGGTTCCTTCTGATTTTATTGGTGGTTCTGGGGTTCTGGTGAGTTCCTCTGCATCGAAATCATCGAAGTAAACTGCAGAGTTTTAGGGGAAGAGGGGTCCATAGACTGAGAAGTAGAAAAATTTCGAAAAGTGGTACCAGTTTTGCCACTCTACATGCGAGAATCCTTTGTGCATGTAGGACTGGTTGCCACCATGGGGACGACGGCGGAAGGTGAGATGACTTCAGGAAATGGTGGGGTAAAATGGGCTGAAAATGCAAGGAGGTTGAGCTACAGACTCAGCTTTGGAATCTATCTCTGTTTCTGTGACTGATATTTCTGTAGCCATGGATTGTGCTCGGTGACACATAGATGCTTGAGATCTACAGTAGGAGAAATCATGCCAATTAACTCGTCAATTTTAGGATAGATCAGGCTTAATGGGATGCAGTCCGGAGGGTACTAGGTAAAGGGAGGCCTATGGCAGTAGGCCAAACAAGAAGAATCTCTGAAATTCTTCAACTACAGTATCTTGGGATATCTAAATAGATCTTAGGTATCTAATCTACAAGCAAAAAGTGTGCCTGGTTGTATCATGTTGTATCATGTTGTATCTATGTACAGCTTGTTTCAACATCGTTCATGATCTGGCACGAATAAGCTGCATTCCACACATACCGTAGACTGGGCTTCTGCAGGTCTTTGCGAAGCCTTCTGGGCGCTGGCGAACTGGCAGGCTTTGGTCTTTAACAACGAACTGCTTCCATTTTGCTGGCAAATCGACAAGCTTGTGTAGGGTTGCTGCCAAAGGTAAGAAAGATATGTGACTAGCGACTAGTATCGACTAGTGTGTTTTTCCAGACTTCACTTTTGGCTTCTTTATCCTGTGCAGCTACATCAAGTACACTTGAAATATAATCCGTGAAATCGTGTCAATATGTTTCTCGGATCATGAGTCGCATGGCCGTGATGTGAGATATATGCTTAGTATATACGTATATATAAATAAAATTAAATAAAGATATATATATATATAATGTATATATGATGTATATATATACACATGATATTAGAAACATGTTTAATGTGCATGTACTGCACACAGTTGCGAACCAGAGCACTCCACGTCCCAAAAACCGCTGCAATTCACGGGAGCCCCGCAGCTCGGAACCTCTTCACCGAGTGATGGACATGACACAGTTGGGCCGCAATCCCAGCGCTTAGTGGGTTTCAGGCTGAAAATGTTTAGATCCAAAAAGATGAACAAGAACTCAAAAGATTGAGTGGGTGAATCACTGACATTTTGATGATTGATGGTGATTGATGGTGATGATCAACTGATTCGAAGATATTTTCGCGAGGTGAAACTCCAAGTCCGCCAAGCTCACCGCGCAGGCACGAAGCGGAGCTGGTCTCGAGGGTTTTCCCTTTTCAGAGAGACTGGTCGTATGACTCGGAAAAAAGGAGGAGAAAATGACCAGAATTGAGAAAAGTTTGAAAACGCTAGATAGATCTTCCTTTTTTTGGATGTTGAAAGTTCTTGAAAGTTGACTGGGTTGAAACAAATGAAAAGACGACATATGACAACATGATTTGTTCCAAATTGGAAGCCAATGCGCCAGCTTCACTGGGGCAATTATGGCTCTGGTTTGCAGGTAAGTTGTCACATAAGCTGCAGCACGTAGATTGAAACTACTACTGTACCTGACTTAAACCTCAGGCCATTTGACTCATTTTATAATAGTTTATACACTTTCTTTGAAGATGATTTGGAATGTCTTTCCTCGCTGGTCTCATCAGAAGATAGTTTTCAAAACATACTTGAAAAGACATCGCATGAAAATGCATGAAGGACTTGATGTTTTTTAATAGACAATGAGCTTTGCAAAACACAACTGGACGTCACAGAAATTTGGTAAAACCATCCACTGAAAAGTTTGATCCGTCCCCAATCCTTGAGCCCTTGGAGCGTGTTGGGGGGTCGCAGCGGAAAAAAATGTCGCTTGGCTTTCCAGCAGTAGCAATGGATCGAGAAATTGCTTGATTGAATGATTGGGTGATATTCATATATATATACATAATTATAGTGGTACATGCATGTGGTGATCCTCAAAAAAACTGAGTTCATCACTTTTGCGCCAAGTGGTTTTCTTTGTCGCTGAGGTCAGGACCTTCAAATTCCCCCCAGTTTGCTTCCCTGTATGTCGGGGATTTACATCCAGATGTCACAGAGGCCGCGCAGCCAGCAGACAATGTGTGGTGGCATTGAAGGTGCCAGACATTTAGGATGATTCATGAGAATTCAAGATATGTAGTATCTGAAAAGAATTTAATATAAGACACAATCATGGTATTTCATATGACTGATATGTCATATGTCAAACATAGTACTTAGTTTAATGATATATATAATTATTGATATCAGTCATGGTTTTTCATACTATGATAGTTCATATAGTTCATAGAATGTCTATATCTAATATTATATCATTGTCAAGGTAAAACACCACATGTTTTCATGTTTCAACACTGTCAGTTGTCGTGGTCCCGGTACGAGGCGATGCTCTATGAGATCTTCAATGCCGTCGGACCTGTGGCCTCCATCCGAGTTTGTTTGGGGCCCCGATGGGCTTCAAAATCCGGGACTCGAAGCGGTTTTCACCAGTTGTGGATGGAAAATACTTACAGTTGCAACATGAAAAAAAAAGCTGAAAAAAACAGGGTTGGTTGGACCTTTTTTTTCGGGAATTCATAGATGGTGGAACATGATGGAACCAGCTATTAGTGGTAAAGTATGACCAAACAACACTGCAAATGTTTGCCCGTAGTCCATTCCTGCATGTCCTTCGACATGCTCAAATCCCTGCGTAGGGCTAGCGTTTATCTTAACAAAATTTAAAACCCTAAAACCCTAAACTCTAAAAGCCTAATCCTGAAAGCCTAAAGTCAAAATTGCTGCGTATAGCCAGTGTTTTCTTTCATCCTCTGGTGACAAGTATATGGGGGGATACAGTATGATGAGCATGGGCGAATGTGGGGTCTGGAGGCGACAAATTATCGAAGGAAGTTTAGAAGTCAAACTTCCGACAATATGGACAGATGAAAAGCAGAGATAGGAAGAGTCAGCGAAGAGAAGAGAAGAGGAAAGAAGATCAAAAAAGAGAAAGTCTCAAAAGAAAGAAGATCCAGGTGCGCGAAAAGGTAGGAAAGTCGCGAAACACTGTGTTTTTCAATTATGTGTGGCTCCGGAGGGTCAAAAAGTAGGCTCGCTAAAGCGGCGGGTGCGGAGCCCGCTGGGCAAATGAGAGATGAAAAATTGCACGCCGTTGTGGCGCGAAGCACATTTCGAAGTCAAAATGTACAAAAACGCACCAAGCCCGGACCACTTTTGGAAGTTGAGATGTCGAAAAAGTGCATGCCGTTGTGGCGCGAAGCACGTTTGCCAGTGAAAAAGGTAAAAACACCTCACGTTCGGAGCACTTTTCGAAGTTGCGAGGTCGGAAAAGTGCACGCCGTTGTGGCGCGAAGTACAAAACACACCAGGTCCGGACCACTTTTGGAAGTTGAGATGTCAAAAAAAGTGCACGCTGTTGTGGCGCGAAGCACATTTCGAAGTCAAAATGTGAAAAACACCACATGCTCGGACCACTTTTGGACGTTCAGATGTCATTTCGCATGGCAGGCGCAAGGGAATGCGCACCTTGTCAAAAGTGAGCAAATCGTGAGGGTTAGTGTAGTATAGTGTAATTAGTGTTGTGTAATGTAGCGTAACGAGTTTATTTGTATTTGTAGCTGTGGTAGTAGTGTCGTGTAGTGGTAGTGGTTGTTGTATTTGTAGTTGTAGCTGTAGCTGTAGCTGTCTATCTATCTATCTGTCTGTCTGTCTGTCTATCTGTCTGTTTGTCTGTCTATCTGTCTATCTGTCTATCTGCAAGCTCGAAAACGCAGCTATTTTGCGACATTTCCTCAATTTTTGAACTTGTCAACATCCAAAACGAAGCAATTCTGCGAGACTTCCTTCAAAAATGGAAAGTTGAGTGCAGAGCTGACGGCCTCGTGCCAATGCGTTTTGCGATTTTTCCACTCCACCTGTCTAAAGTACTGCGCCTGTCACGCAAAATCATCTTCCCCAAACTGAAGATCTGATGCTCCAAAATGCAACCCATCTCAGGAAATCAGCGCCCTGACCTCCTAACATCTCTGATGAACATGCCTCTTGTACTGCGCCTGCCACGCGAAATGCATCTTTGCAGATCCTCTTCAAATGCCCCACGCCTGCCAGATCCTACAAAACTACACTAATTACATCTAATTACGCTACACTACATTAGTACATTGCAGTACACTACAACTACAAATACAAGTGCAACTACAACTACACTACATTGCACAACACTACACTACACTACACTAATTACACTGCAGCACACTACAACTACAAATACAAATGCAACTGCAACTACACTACATTGTACTACACTACATTGCACTACACTACACTACACTAATTACATTACATTACGCTACAACTACAACTGCAACTACAATTGTGACCACCACTAAACTACACTACACGACACTACACCAATTACACCACACCACATCACAACTACAACTACACTACCTTACACTATACCACACTACAGTACACAACACTACAGTACACTACAATACGGTACACTACAATGCACTACACTAATTACACCACGCCACAACTACAACTACAACTGCACCTGCAACTACACTACACTTTTTACACATTACAACTACAACTCCACTACACCACACTACAACTACAACTGCACTACACCACACTATATCCAGCAGTTGTGGCAAGGTGACCACTGCAATCACTGCAACCATTGCAACCACTCCAAAAAACACAACTCCAACCACCTGTCAGTCCATCAGTGGATTCGCTCTGCCATCCGTGATTCACAACAACCAACCTCTCCTATAGGTTTCCTATTTTTGAAACTTCCGCCACCGCCTTGTGCGGTACTACTGGCAACTACAGTTTCTACAGTTACTCGAAAAGAATCCGTTCTTGATGATCGTCATAGCCCATGATGGATTAAGACTACTGAGTTATGGTTCTGCTCAATCATAAATACAGGTACTATTGATAGCCCATGATTCACATGTGAATCCTCCAATCCACAGTCAGAATGTAGGGCTCTCACAACTGAAGGCCGAGATGCCGTGACGCGCAAGTCGTTGAGTTATGGCTATGTGAACTTCCACAGTCACTGGGACCTGTGTTTGACCACCATTTTGGCGAGCAAAAATGGGCATTTAACATGATTTAACGAGCATTAAGAAACCGAAAATCAAGATAATCAAGTTTTGCCAGGTTTGGTTTTTCTTTCAAAGGTACTGTCATAGATCGACCCGTGCAATTGTCATGGACACAAAGATGGAAATCCTGCAGTAAGTTTTGCTCCTGTGTCACGTTCTGTTTGTCATGTTTGTCGTGTGTTGTGATTTCAAGATAATTCAATATATTTCACGTATATACAATCAATACAGGTACAATATAGTATATAATTATATATCATGTGTGTATGTATTATGTATGTATATATAATTACATAATAAGTAGATTCAAATGACTGAGTCCAAAGTTTGAATAATTTGGGGACAAAATCCCATGTACAATTACATAGAGTGAGACGATGTATATAGAAAGTCAAAAAGGCCTCCAGATGGACATGACTGACTGAGTTTATATTTCCGGAAGATGTGTGTAAAAAATTCACAACCCCAAGCCCTTCAGCCCAACTTCGTATGCATAAGTTACTGGAATGGATATGAACATGTCATGCCTCTGCACCTGTGATAAATTCACCCAGGATCGGACAAGACGATTTTCTTCCCAACATCCGTTCTAAAATGGAAAGAAATGATGGATCAGCATATTGCTGCAGAATTTCAGTATGGGAATCCATGGAGTCCCATGGATGCCGTGAGCACCGCCGGCGAGTTTTCTGCCAAGGTGTTCCAGATGCTGAGCGAGCTTTGGACACGCTGAATTATTCGAGCATTCGAGGGCGTTCGCAGCTCGATGAAATGGCGGAAGATGCGGAAGCGTTGGTCGTAGGGGTTTTGGTGATGTTTAAAAAAGAAACGATGGTGAGAAGACACTGAAAATATCTCTGAGATCTCTAGATCTCCAGTCTCAAAACTTCTGGTTTCAAGGACGTTCTGTGTTTCGAAACCAATAAATAGTGAAAATACAGGTGAGAATGCGAGAAGACAGTGGTCCGAACTGCAACACGGCTCCCAACCTCCCCTGCAGTTTCCAGCAGATAGTTTTTAGCTCTTTGAATCTATTTGGAACTCGTTTTTTTGACTCATCTTGGGGCCTGCTTTCTATATCCAAACTCAAATATTTATGGAGCTAGTCGTAAGTTTTCGCTCCAATCGAAGGCTCATTTCTGACCCGATTCACGCTCTAGTTTGTTGTACTAGTACTGTAGTTTCTCTTTTCATGGCCGGTGTCCCCCTTATTCCAGAACCTGCGGAAAGATACGCCATTGGCCATTTGCATCCATTTGGCTTGTTTGAAACGCGGTACCGCAAAATTTCATTGTTATCATCATTCCCCATCATTCCCCTATTGTTGTAGAAATGGCGACTTTAGATATCCTCAGATATTTGGACAAACTGCCTCAGACAAGAATCCGCACCGTTCCAAGCTCGCATTCTTCGCATGTCAGGTGCCGAATCATGTGGTGCCAACGTCTCTTGACAAGAATCATGTTGCTGTCATAGCAGCAACTTTGTGTCCTCAGACATCCGCCGCAGAGCGTGACATTTATAATATAAATGCCTTTGATAAGATTGGAATTCGGCTTTGTTTGTCACACCCATAGAGATACAGTATACGTAGATATAATATGATATAATATATAATTATATAGATATTATATTGTTATATAACTTTATATATATATATATATACATATATATATACATCTACATCTACATCTACATATTACATGTACATATACATATACATATGATGCGATGTATGCTGTTTGATTTATTTTGCCTTCGCTGTGTTGGGTGCCTGCGCTGCCAGTTCTCAGAAAGCCGAGGTGACCCCACTTTGCGCAAGTCACTTGCTTCAGCCATTAGCAAAGGGTGATTTCAAGTAGGTGGACCCATTGACCGTCATGACTATACCATTACTATACCATGACTATACCATGACTATACCATGACTATACCATGACTATACCATGACTATACCATGACTATACCATGACTATACCATGACTATACCATGACTATACCATGACTATACCATGGCTATACCATGGCTATACCATGGCTATACCATGGCTATACCATGGCTATACCATGGCTATACCATGGCTATACCATGGCTATACCATGGCTATACCATGGCTATACCATGGCTATACCATGGCTATACCATGGCTGTACCATGACTGTACCATGACTGTACCATGACTGTACCATGACTGTACCATGACTATACCATGACTAATGTCCGTCATGTTCAACTGTGTTTGGTCACCCAAGGACAGGCGCTGGGAACATCTACGTCAGCAATCTTGACCCTAACATTGATAACAAGGTGAGTGTGCTGTGACGTTACTCTGCGGCGATGCTGGCTCTGTTCCGTTGGTGATGGTGGGATCATTTTGGCCAGGCTTTGTATGACACCTTTAGCCTGTTTGGCAATATCCTGTCCTGCAAAGTGGCTTCCGATAGTTCTGGAAAGCCAAGCCCTCAGCCGTGTTTTCAGCTGTGTTTCGAGCTACTAGCTACATCTAGCTACCGTAAGGCTGCAGAATAAATACTTTCATTACATGCAATGTCAGGCAACTGCTTTCATGACAATCATGTGCAAAGTTGCAGACAATGAAAACGACTCTCTCAACCCTGGCATGAGTTTGTTTGTTGCGTTTTGAGAGGTCCCACGGCTATGGATTTGTGCATTACGAATTCGAGGATGCAGCACGGCAGGTGCTAATTGAACTTGACTCGCCAGCTCGACCATGCCACTGACTACACTCTGGCTCCGGACAGGCAATTGAAAGGGTCAACGGCATGATGATTGGAGACAAAGCAGTAACGGCCTCTCGACATGGATTCCCTGGTCTTTGTTGCGTTCGTGTTTGGATTTCCACTTTGCAATTCTTTGCTCCATGGGTCCACAACGAGATATGCGAAGGGGCGTTAAATGATGTTGAATGATGACATGAAAATCTATCAAATCTGAAGACTACATTCAATAAACTGTTGACCAAGTCGCACAAGCTGTTTGTTGGAAACCCAAAGTTTTCCTGAAGAGCCAGTCTTCTCGCCACCTAGTCACACTGAACGGGCTGATCGACTATTTGAGTATGGGGATAGGTACAGTGTCCAGCTCAGGTATGTTTGTTCCAGAAGCGGGACAAGGCCGAAGAACCAGTGATGTGTCATGCAGCTGCCGAGAGTTGTTGAAGAATGATGTTGATGATGTATTCAGGATTGTCTCAAATGATGGTAATCTGGGGTAATCCATTGAATGGCCATTCGAGAATGGGGGAAGTGATCATAAATCATGGGAGCTTGGAGTTTGGGTTGCAAAAAAAAAAGTTTCCGAATTCTTCAGACAACACCATTTTAGCATATTTTAAAGCCCTTGGCTGACGTTACTCCGGCATTTTTGTGTCATGGCTGTTTCTGCCTGAATTCACCAAGGATGCTGAAAAGCAAAACTTCACAAATCTCTATGTTTCTTGCCATGTGCTGCACATGCTCAATGGATCCCCTAATAGGGGGCTGTCCGATCTTGGTGTCGCCGGCTGTGGTTCCAAAATGTTCCAAACTGTCTAGAGAGAGTGACACACTTCGTGAGTATGACTATTCCAAGATGAGTCATCAGATGTTGCATGACTTTAACGCTTTTGAAAGCATTTCTGTACTTGAAGGGCGCCATTTGAAATGCTGAGGTTAAGTACTACCCACAAGACTGGGACGAAGCAAAGCTCATGGAGTTCTTTAGTCAGTGTGGCCCTGTTACCGCTGCTGCTGTGAAGATAGACGAAAAAGGACGAAAATTTGCGTTTGTGCCTTGACTATCTTGACTTAAGCATCACTTGAAAGTAAAAGAGAAGGAGGCAGAAGGAGACAGAAGGAGAGCGTGTAGAGAAAAGAACTGCTTTGGTGCTTTGGGTTCCATGACCACAACAAGCCTGAGGAAGCCCGATTTTGTTTTCATGTTATACAACGGTGGCTGTTTCAATAGCGGTGTCAAACAACGCATGGCAGTATCAAGGTGAACTATGAGAGTAGCGACGATGCCAAGAGATGCGTGGAAGAATTGCATGGCATGGACTCTCGGGTAGACAGCTGTGGATCCAACAGGGTCATCCAACAGGGTCATCCAGGTGTTCCCATAGGCCCAATAGGTACTGACCCTAACTATATCCCCATGCTTGTTTGTTGAAATCCCATGTACTTTCTGGTGAGTGAGATGAATACATATTGTTGATGTTGTTGCTTAGACTGAAAATAATTTGTATATATATATATATGTGCGTATATACGTATGTGTATATATATATATACATTGGTTTTGTTTATCCATTTCTGGCAATTGAAACTGCTTGCACTGTGAAGAGCCCATGTCGTAGTCGTAGGGTGAATCTCCGCTGAATATCTGAAGGACCTGCGAGAAGACAAGGAAGCACCCGAGGAGTTGGGTCCTGATGGGCATCCAGTGCGGCGCTGAGGTCGTTTTTGGGGCACGGTGATGGTTCCAGCAGACAAAAAAGGGGAATGGTCGAGACCATCAGAAGTTGAGTAGCTGGGTGTTCAACCATGTTAAACCAGGTCACCGTATTACCATACAAAAACTTGGGATTCGACGCGATTCAACCATCAGAAATGGGGATTTTTCACCAAAACCTGGGTCCCTTCAGCCAGCAAGAGTTGGGTCCCTTAACCAACATCAGCGTGGGGGGAATATGCCATGATATGGTGGGTCAAAAGCCAATGGTGGGCCAATCATAAGTTTGGGGATGAGGATCCAAAGCCAAGTACCATGTTGTCGATCCATTGCCAAATGGGGATCCTTCAACCACGATCGTCATTTGCGCTGCTTCAAATTTCAAACATCCTGCTATGTAGTTTCCCTGCTATATTGGATGAGGATCCGCAAATTGCCAATATGTTCTCAAGGCTGAAACCAGGTGCATGCGAGGCGTTCCATCCAGTTTCTCCCAAATGACCCAGAGAGCCTTGCCGTCGATGGCAAATCTAGGTTGGTCACCTCTACGTTCAGCGGGCGCAGACCAAAAAGGAACGACAGGCCAGGAATTCTGTCGCAACGCACAGGCCGAAGTTCTCCCTCGCCGGATTGTGTCCCTCACGAGGCAGAGTTGCGATCTCAATTCTCAGACAACCGACCTCAGAACAAGGCCGTGAATCTCTACGCCACTCGGCTTTTTCGAAGCCACGTCTCGACACGCTTGAGACTGATGTGTTTCTCAAGCCTTGATAGATAATTTGAGCTCCTCACCTTGTTTTTCACAGGTTAAAAATTTGGACACGACTGTGGAAGATGCTGATTTGAGCCTCGGCCGTTCAATGGAATATGGAATGGATTTTGATGGATTTTGCACATGTTTGGATTATGTTAAACATGTGTTTCCACTGTTTGCAAGGCACGATTGTGTTCGATGTTTAATCTTGTTTAATAAGATATTTCTAATTATATTTCTTGTCCACCATGTCATTTGAGCAAGTCTGCAAGTGGTGGCAAGTGACCGCAGTAACCTAGAAGCTAAAAAAGTCGAGCCACCTTGGTCATCCGCAGGCGTCATGAGGACAGATATTCTGTATGTCAGATACTTCGATAGATTGATGATGGCTAATATATGCTAATATGTGCCATCTAATTCCAGCAAATTGCAACAATGCTGACATCTTGATACATCTCGATAGATGTTGTTGGTCAGTTCTTACAGAATGTTCATGGCCCCTGCAATACTTGGGGCCCCATTCGGCCGCCCTCTGCACCATGAAAGTGTTTTTTTTGGTTGCCGTACTCCCACAATTTCCAGTTCAATTTTCTTGCTGGGTGTTTAAGAATCTTTGCGCATCTTGGACAGTTCCATGTATGGGTAAAGTGAATGTGTTTACGCATGTGTATATATATATATATATGTATGTGTGTGTGAGGCTGTCTGAACATGAACTTGGCTGAGTAAAGTTATTTTGCAATTGAATACAAGATCGTGAGCACTGAAGTTTCTCGCTGCCTTGCAGCATGTCTTGGTTCTTTTAACCAAGGAGGGAGTGGTTTGAGCCATTTGGCAAGGCACACGCGTTGTCGCATTTGGAAACTCGTTCGAGGGCTGCTCCACTCCATTCCACTCCCCCATATCTGAAGCTTCAAGACAAGACAGACAGTTTTGCAGCCGCGACCCAGACCCTTTTCCATCGCTCGCCCATTTTACAAACTCCAACAGGAACCATGTTCTCAGCGGCCAAGTTTGAAGCCTATTGCAGTGTGATCCCATTTTGCTGCGGGCAGGTTACCTCAGCATCAGTTGCAAAGGATGCCGCTGGCAAGTGTAGAGGCAGGAACGTCGAGCACGTGTTTCATGTCTTTAAAAAAAAAAGATCCAATCATAGGGTTGATAAAGAGAGTCCTCGCAACAAGTAACCATTCGCTTACGCAGATGTTTACATCTACAACATCATAAAGCCTTGGATAATTTTGCCCATTTTAGCATCATTTTGCTAGATCTTGATTGCATCTCTAAGCCCACCACTGACTTGGAAAAAGATGGCAAGAAAGATGGCTAAAAGATTGCTGTGTTGCCACATGTTACCAGGTGTTGCCACGTGTTGCCACTGTGTGGCTTTCCCTTTCAGGATTTGGCTTCGTTTGCTTGAGCGCACCCGAGGATGCCACGAAGGCCGTGACAGAGATGCACCTCAAGGCCGATGGGATGGGATAGCCTATGGCATCTATGGCATCCCTACATCCTGTGGCCGCCTGTGGCCTAGACCCAACTTGAAATTGACTTTGATGGAGGTTTTTCTGGCTCTTGTTGATTTAGTTTGGTATTGTGAACTTGTATATCTTGTATTGAGCTCAACACCACTTCAATGAAACATCAGTGATTGGGATTTGTCAGGGTTTCTTAATCCTGTTTGGTTGGTGTTGATTACGTTGATGTGGTTGCTTGATCTTGCTTCTTGTCTCAGGTGATGGCAGATTAAGAGGGGTTCATTGCAACATATTGCTGGTACAACCTGAACATGTAGCCGACCCTTTATTCATGGGCATGGTTCAGCCATGTTCAGCCAATGATTCTCTCTCCTCTCCATGCAGCCAGCTGAGAACTCATAGCATGGGCCAGCAATATGACATAGTCAGCATAGCAGCAGATAGACAGTCGTGCAAAGAATCTTAGGTGCCAGGTACAGATGGTACAGTAATATCAACAATTGCCCCTATAGTTGATTTACCCATTAAAAATGGTGATTTTCCATAGCTATCCATAGCTATGTTAGTTTTGCATAGTTTTGCCAGAGGCTATTTCCCCATCCATCGTTTCAGATTGTGATGGGTCAAAGAAATAGCCATCGCCCAGATCGCCCAGATCACCCAGATCGCCCAGGTGGTGAAGGGCAAGCCTCTGTACGTCGGCTTGGCTGAAAAAAAGGAGGCAGGATGGTCGGATGGTAAATCCGGAAATTTTGGCAAATGGCTATGGATCAATACCTATTAATACCATTTTTAGTGGGATGAACATCCATTTACCAGCTATTTTGATGTTCACCAGGGGTACCAGGGTTTTGACCCATCCCCAAATGGCTTTGCTCAACAGTGGCTTTGCTCAACGATGCATCCCTGTGGAAATGTCCAAACGGTTTCGTGGGCAGGCGAGGAATGTTGGACACCAATCAGTTGAATCCCATGAACATGGCGAGGCAAGACAAGAGCGGCTCCGCCAGCGATTTACGCAGCCCGGCAACTATGGGAACTACGGTGGCTACAACAGCTATGGAGGCTGTCGATGCTGTCGTGTTCCCATAAAATGATGGTCACAGAAAGCATAGAAAGCCTGGTCCAGGCGGAAAAGGGAAGAAGGGCAAAGGCAAAGGTGGCCCCTCGGCTTCATTTTGAGGCAGACCCAAATTGGAGTTGGTGAAATATCCGTTGAAAGATCCATGAAAAAACCATTAAAAAAGTCATATGAATCCAGCATTTTTGTTGGTTAAACCATGGTAAACCTATTTATATCCATTTTTGATCACTTTTGTGTGCCGTTGTTTGACCTCATTGTAGTCCATTTATTCGGGTCAGCTATGGTCAGCATTGGGATTCGCCCAGATCTCTTGTGGCGGCCATGAAAGTGGGTACAAATCCCAAATCATGGATACAGTACAGTACATTATCTCCATTTTGATAGGTACTTGGAGGCTCTATGTGTGTTTTTTTGCCTGTAGTTTCCAAAGTCTGGTGCAAGTTGCAGCTCTTACAATCCAGGTATTCAGTCTGTGTCCATCTCGTTCTTTTTCACAGCTATCAGAGCAAAAACACTGCCATGATGACAAAGAAAAGGTTTGCCTTGGTAAACCTTGGTACATTCTGTGGCCGGCATGCAATTCTTGCCTCTAAGGATATGGCAAGGAGCGGGGTGAAATTTCATGAAATAGGAGACAGGCCAGTAGTTTCTATTGTTTGATTTTGATTGTAATGGTTTTGATCTGGTTTGATTGTCTTGATGGTGTTCTATCCCCACAAACAAAACCACTATCAGAACTTCTATGGGACTGGGATGGCTTGAAATAACCAACCCGCTGTCACTTGCAGGACATGGACAGTGCGGACATGATGGGACCCCAGCAAGGGATGAATCTTGGCAGCACGGCCAAGAAATGGCATTAATGTTGGTAAAGCAATAGTAAACCATCCCCAAATTCACCATAAATGGGTGGTATAAACCATCAAAATATGGGTGGTTGATTATTGCTTTTCTAACATTACAACAAGACCCTATGGTTTGCCCGCAAGGTTAGAATGGAGTTCAAATATTATCCTTCGGCATGCTCAAAAACCTGCGCAGGGCCGGTGTTTTGGTAATTACCAGACGACGAACCCTAAACCCTGAAACCCTAAGCTCCAAAACCCTGAAAACTCTGAATCCGAAAGCAGAAAACACTGCGCAGACGCAGTATTTTCTGCAATTTCTCTTCTCATCTTCAACGACAGGGAATCCTCAATGTTGCAGTCCGGGCAAAATTACGGGATTTGTGCATAGCATTAGGTGAGAGCACCTTGAGGATAGAACAGACGACCCGACGGAGTTGCATCCGCCCAGTAGATTGCAGCGGCATGGGGTCTTTGGACAATGCGAAGTCTCATCACACTTCATCACACTTCATTTTATCAATTTTATCACTCATTAATTCTCATGTTCATTCATTTTCGGTACATTTCGGTACTAACCAACCTCAATAGTTCTGAAAACCTTCCCGCATCTGTGCTGACGACTTGTTTGGGAGTACTTTTTTTTTGGGACAAACCCATAGAGCTGAGAACTGCCACAGCAAGTTTCAAAGTTGCGCCAAAAAGGCTATCAAAAAGACGTGCTATAAAATGGTGAACAATGTCTGTGCAAGTTTAAGCACTCCATTATATAAAGATATATAAAGGATTATAAAGGATTATTTATTTATATATATAATGTGTAGTTAAGCATTCCGTTTATTTATATACTATGTATATATATTATACAAATGCAATAGAATGTGCAGCCGACAAACGGATTTCATAAAGACCACAGGGTTTGACAAATGGTTGTGGACACGTGTTGAAGGAAAGCTACGTGTCCCTGATGTGAAATCTTTTGCTGATTGTAGAGCTTTGCACTTTGTTCATTTGCCAAGGATGATGAACAACATGAATATGCCTGGAATGGGAATGCCAAACATGGGAGGCATGATGAGGCAGAGAGAGGGAGTCTCCTTTGCGCATGCGCACACACTTTTATTTTGGATGTTAGTGAAACAATGCGTTGAGAATGAGCAGGCCACCGCAGATGATGGGCATGATGCAACCTCCAATGTATCTTGGATGAAGATGTGCAGAAATTTTAGGTGGATGGGTGTGGATACTACTTTTGTGTTTCATTCATGATTCTGCAAGAAACCACTTGGTCCTGGGTTCCTAGATAAGACTATAAGTTTTGGATAGAAGACAAGTACAATCACATGCACCTGCAATCGCTCAGAATGTGATGAATTTTGAGCCCTTAGGATGTGCAAAGGAGGTGGACAAAGTGCCGGCAACATGAAGGGCGGCATGCCTTGCATGGGAAAGGGCCTGATGCCTCCAATGGGACCAGGTGCGGCAGCTTAGCACGGACCTCGTGGCCTTTGTGCCGTTTGTGGCGTCGGCCGTTGTGAGGAGCGATGAACCCAATGATGGGCATGCGGCCAAACATGCCGATGCCGGAAGCCCTGTGTCGAGGGAACTAAAGGTAGCGCATGGTAGCACTTAGCTTGTGGAGACTAGCTGTTGCAGAGTGTTGGAAACAGCACATCTAGTGGAATCCATTTTTTCCCACAGGATTAATTGGACAGCGAGAGCAAGTGTCCACAATTTACAATGTCATGATATCATAGATTATCATAGATTATCAATATGTCGTTAAGTCATGCCAACCTACGATTTCTATGTTATCACAACTTATCACATAACATACACTATCTATCTAGATCTATCTATTATCTATATATCATGAATCTATACATAGGTATATATATATATACAACACTTTGTTGATCTCAAAGTGCCCCGTGGCCTTGACCAAGGCCACCCATGATGAGGCCACCGGTGAATCCGCAGCAGGTCGTGCCACTCGTCTACTTTTTAGGGGATCTAATGGAGGTTCCCCCCATGTATGGAAACCCAGATACATATACATAGGCATATGTATATATATATACACATACTGGTTACGTATATTATATTATATTATATTATATTATATATGATTGATTGAGGGGTGTTATTGAGGTATTAATCAACCGATATAGTATAAAAACCATTTGATATAGATAATCATTGAAGGGATACGGTACCCAAGAAATTTGATATATACATACATACATACATACATACATACATACATACATACATACATACATACATACATACATATATATATATATTGTATTATATGGTTAGTATCAACCAATAGAGCCAATACTAGCATAATTATTGGGAGTACTCAATTTTGACCCATAGCCATGTGATGAAATAAACCCTAGTAAAGCATGGTTTCTGGGGGCAAGGTAAGTCAGGGTTCCTGAGCACTAGTGGTTGGGATAGCGACATGACGGACCACTAAGGGCGCCTCCAATCCAGATGAGTGGACCAGTTGCTTGGCAAGTCCGGTGAAGTTGTTGGGTCGCAATGGCTCCGGCTTTGTGCATCTTCCCGCTGAGATGCAGAAACAGATGCTGGGCGAGAAGCTATACCCAATGGTCGCCAAGTACCAGCCGGAGTTGGCCGCTCGCTGAGTTGTGAAGGGAGAGTGACATGTCTGGTCATTCCAGTGGAATCAGCTGGGGGATGTTTCTGAGGCTGGAAAGATCACAGGCATGATGCTGGAAATGGACAACAACGAGCTGATGCGTTTGTTGGAGTCAAAAGCTCAGCAATTTCACCATGTAGATCAGAAATGATTAGAAATGATTAGAAAGCAATCAGAACTTCATGGAGTTTTGGAGATCCCAGTGAAGTCCCAAAACAATGTGGGGGGAGACAAGTTGGTGGGCTTTTGGAGCTACTTCACGATAAAAGATTCTAGAATCTGTCAGAAGCTTAGCATAAGTCATGCCCACGTATGTTTCTTCCATGCCCCTTTGCTGCCTAGTTCCGAGCAGCAAGTTCGGAACAAGGTCGATGAGGCCGGGGATTTGTGTCATCGAAATGGCTATAGGATACCCCAAAACCCTCACAGCTTCCAGCAGCATGCCTTTGATAGTGACTATAGGCTCTGCGTGTGATCCAACAAGCTGGCCGTTACAATTGAAAGGCTGGGAAGGGGCTGCAGACATCGCAAATTTCAGAGGTAGCAACAAGTTCGCAGCAGCAAAGAAGATGTCATAGGAGCCGAAGCAAAGGAAGCAAGTGCAGTTTTTTATGTTTCTTTTCAGTGAAGATCAAAACATCTCAAAACCGTTGGACAAATGTCAAGGATCCTATGACTTTTGATCAAGAGTGCCAGTTACTTTGCAATGGAAAACCCACCAGTAGGAGGCGTCAGAAGGGTGACTTTGGTCCTGAGACTACCAGGCACTATTTTGCGAGGGAAGTGCGCAACGCATAGCACTTGAAGCATCTTGAAGCGTCAGAACAGTCTGGTCGAACCAGCCAGGAAAAGACAATGCGGGAGAAACACCCAAAGTTTCGATCAATGAATTTTCTGTACTGTTCTTGTGCCGGGTGTCCGGAGTTGGTGGAACATCCAGCAATTCTCTTGCTGAGATTTTTAGTCAGCTCTTACGAGAATGCCTGACATAACAGCTTCCGAGCTCGTTTGGATCACCATGGATGATCTATAAATATCTATAAATTAAATGTATTTGGGATTTTGGGGTTCAGCATTTCCTCGCACGTGTCACAGACTCCCTTGAATGGGTTGAAAGCTTTGCTGCGCCAAATGAGCTGGTGTTTGGATTTGCTTGTCTTCCTCAGGGACAGAAGGATTGCGATCGGATGAACTGATGTGCGTCTTTCTGATTTTTTATTCCCAAAAGCAGGCGAAGTCTGCTCTTGATTCTTCGACGATGGCTGCGCAGTCTAAAAAGGTTTTACGATTTGAACGTCTTTGACTGGTGTTTCACCAGGAATCTGTGGATGCAACTGGGATCAAGTAGGTAGATGCTGTTTGAAAGTTGGTTTAATCACTGTAAAACCAAAAGCAAGGTGAGTGATCACTGCTTCTTGGAGGTGGTTTCTCTGTCATGCCCTCTTGGAAAGGACGCAGAGAGTGTTTCGAAGCACATCGGGTATAGGTGTAGATGATGCCTGTTCCATATAGTCTGTAAAGAAGGAAGATATGTGCGATAAAAAGACTGAGCAGATCCTTCCCAGGCGGAAACAACAAAGAAGACATGTTGGTGAATGTTCGTTAGACCGTTGGATGTTGATTCAATCTGAAGCATAGTCCTACCGCAGGCAAAGAACCCGAGACATCGAGCGTCGAGACACAGCAGAGCGACGGAAGAGTAGTGCTGACAAGGCAACGGGAAGCATCCCATGACATCCCAAGCCTCTTCAAATCTTATGTGCTCAGGCTGCTGAGGGTTCTTGTGACAAAGGAATTCAAGAGTACTTTTTGTAGAATTTTGTAGAAAAATAGTTTGTAGCATCTTCTAGCACTGCCAATTGGATTCTGCTTTGAAGTGTGACATTGACTTTTGAAAGGGAAATAAGGGATTCACTCAGCTCAATACATCTACCAGATCCATCATTGTGTTGGGATATGTTGGGATTGTTGGCTGTGGGGGCAAAAAAGTCACAGAAAACCCGTGTTCACATGTTTTCACCATGAAATCGTGTTGCCACTGGTAGCTGGAGGAAGCGCCAGTGCCATCAACCTCGGCTGAGTCCAGGTGCAGCTACTGTGACTTGGCATCCCCCTGGGGCCGAAGTGGCATTGAAATGGAGGCTTCTTCCTAAGTGGTACCCAAAAATGAATGAATTCTAATGGAAAATATTGAAAATCCCATCAAAATGGATGATAAATGGGGTACCAGATTTATATGGAAACATTGGAAACCCTCAAATGTGTCCAACATTGGATGAGGTGATTATAGACTTGTTCCGGATGCGAGATTCTGTCCCAAGTGTGGCCGCCTTCGTTCACGGCTTGAGGCGCAAACAATGAAGATTGGAGTTGTGATCTGAATTTCATTGAATTTCCATGAACCTTGCGTGTGCAGGCTTTTCAATGGCCTGCAAGCAACGAAGGTCCGAATCAGGAATTGACCAGTTGTTACCATTGTCAGGAAGTCACTACACAACGAACATGCCAGGCTTGTTTGGTCCAAAGATTCGATTCTGTGTTCTTTTTGTTTTCATCTTGGAGGTTGGACCGTACGCACTTCCCGCTTGGAGCGTGGTGGTTGGGCTGGTGAGGTCGATTTGGGAAAGGCGGGGACCGCACCAAAAGAGATGAGTCAGTCGTAAGCAAAGAACTTGTGAAGTATTGGCCGCCAAACAACTTTTGAAGGCGCAAGAGATGAACGCTCTCCGGGAGGCACCAGAGATGAACACTTCTGGTTGCCAACAGCTCCACTTTCTGCCTCGTTTTTGCCGTTGGCTCTTCGCTTTGTGTCAATCTAGTTGGGTGCACAGGTGCTGAACAAAGGCTGGGAGCATCCCGTTGATCCCATTGGCATCGGGCCATTCCAGTTTCTGTGGAGCCGCGACAGGTGCCTACCGGACTCCATCACCGAGGACAAGACTCGATGGTTGGACGATCTGATCGAAATCGGAAGATGCAGGGACAGTGATTGCTCCAAAGAAGAGCTTTAAATAATTTAAAATACAAGTCCTGGATCTACCAGCCTTAGTGGCGAAAAAAGAATCCAATTCGCACATTGTTGTGGAGTACCCTTGGTGCTGCACCTCCTTTTCTATCCTTTGCCAAGTGTGGCAAGTACCATCATCGAAAGTCAAGCTGACAGTAGCGCAAATATATGCTTGTTGTCTGAAAATCTCTTAAGGGTTCTCAGACAAAACTCCTGAGTCAGGTTTCCAACTTTCATCACACACATCTCGAGATACCCATCGTCTTTTCGTTTGTTTGCACAAGTGGAAGGTATTCTCTGCGATTAATTGCATAGCTCTCTTGGTCTGTCCCTATTGTGCATAATCCCGACAAATTCGCAAATGATCGCATGCAAGAAAAAGTCGCAGCAAGTGTTTCTTCACTCTTGTTCAAACTGCCTGTCCGGCTTCGTTTTGCATGTTTTCTTCCTAAATCATGATGGCAATGGGTGGAAATGGATGGCAATGGCAATGGTGGTCAGGGTGATGGATGGTGATGGATGGTGATGGGATGCACCCGCGGTCGCCACGCAGATCTGCCTTGATGTGGTTGGACTTGCGCTTGCCCTTCACTGAAATTGTGGGCTCCGTGTTGAAAGCAGCCCAGGCCCAGTACTGACAGCATCGGACACCCAGTCATTCTATGTCTAACATGTGGAACAGTCTTTCAATCCCAGTCATTTGGGCAGTTGTACCACCCATTCAACATATATCGACATATTTCAACATAGTTCAACACATTTCAACATGTTCATTTTCTATTCCAGTCACTAAAGATCGGGTGAAAGCTCTGCTGTTTGGTGAAGGCTCACGCACAATCACAGCTGCTTCTTTACGAGGCCTGGCATCATGTGTCTTTCATAAGATGTGGGCACCATCTCATGGCATAGGTCACTGAAAGGGGCTTACCAATGAACCAAAGTGGATCACATCGGTCTATCTTCGGATCAAACCATCCATGCTGTACATCATTTTGACATATTTTGACCAGCGAAGAAAGCGAGAGTCAAAAGCTGGCCTCAAGGTGATGTGTCCAGCATTCCTGGGAGCATGCTGTTTTCTTTTGATTTGTTGTCCTGATACCGCATCTCACACTAGTTTTCTGCTGCGCCTTTTCTACGGCTTTGTGTTGTACACACACCAGTCCGCCTGCTGTACTCTTTGTTGAGAAAGATGGATCTGAGCAAAAGCATTGAAAAAGAGTTTAGTTGATACTGTCCTTGTGGCATCTCTCGTTCATCAACTTTTATGTGTATTGATGTGTCTTTTTTTGTGTGGAGCTGACTTGAGCTTGTGTCAAATACCTTGGAGGTGTCTTCACTGGTGTCAAACATCAAGAACGAGTCACCAGATTGCATTTTATCCAAGAAAGAGTGCGCCCTCCAAGACGCACAGCTGGACATCAAACTTTGGATCCACCATCCCTTGATCCGCAGGTACAGTGCCAAGCAGCTAACCAAAGGCATTGGCCGTTTCTTCAAGAGCAAGAACGAAGGCACCTTGATGATTGGATTTGCAGGGTTGTGGTATGTTGTAGTACATTGTAGTTTCATGGCCATTTGGCATGAAGGACTCAATACTCCAGCGCGCGTCGGGATTGAATTATTGCCGTCCCAAGCATACTTTAGCAAAGAATCTTTGATCCAGCTCTGAATTCACACCTGAAGCAATTTCGAATCAGGTAGGTAGAAGCCTTTCCCGCCCGCTGGATTAATGGAGAGGTATATAACATTATATAACCACATTGAACAACCATAAACTAGATATACAAAGATCAATGGCGTACCCAGCTTGCCTGGTAATTGGCACCGCAACCAGAGGTGCCAAGCAACAGGAGAAGGAGGGAAAGGACCGTTGTGCAAGCCCAAATAATTGCAATGAAATTGAAGGTCTTATGTTCAGGTCAAGAAAATGAACCTTCGTAAGTTAAAGCAACGGTCTTCTTGCAGTCATAGGATAGGGAGGCAATCTCTTGTTTGCGCCATACATATGTTCATCATCTTGTGGCCAATGCAGGAAGAAAATTCTGAGGTACCCACGAAGATTGTGAATCTAGATTGACATTTGAACATCACCTAGAACATAAAAAATAAAATTCTTGAACAATACCGATTTAACACATATTTTAAAATATAAAAATATTATATTTAAAATTTTGAAAATACATTTTCGATACAATATGTTATTCTGTTATATATTTTTGTATTATAATATAGTTAATTAATATAAATATCAAATTATTTAAATATTATGAAAAAATAAGAATATATATTTAAGGGCTGCCGCCCCTGCCGCCGACCCCGGAAAAATTGGACCTCGATTTTTTGATCCTCCACCTTGTTTCTTTGACCCCCCACCTTGCCTTTTCGAGGCGCTTGCTACAATAGTATGGATATTATATATATATGTATATATATATATATGGGCCCTATTATTATACATAGAAAGAGGAAAAGGCCGGGTGGTCACTTTGGAAGAAGATTTGGTGGACCGGGCGTGGTAAACCGGCTGGATTGATAGCTTGCTTACAGGTACGCAGGACCCCCTTCCGTTATATGTTGATTTATAATCCCATCTGACTATAGATGTATCCACCATAACTCCAAGTTATTTGGTAACCAAATGGCAAATCGTTTGGGGGCCACCGGGGATATCTATGGATATCTCGTATTTGTATACAATACAGTATGTATAGTTTTGTACATATCATATGATATATCATACATCTCACTATGATTAGATATAATATTCACATATATATATATAGTACACTCATTCTATATTAACGTATACTCACGTGAAATCAAATGAAGACATATAGAGAGCACCCAACATAGATAGCCGATATTGAATTATCACTATTCTAGTAGGATTATTGTCAAAAAACATATCTTTTTTGGCATTGCTAAAATATACCCTCGGGTAAACGAACACAGGGCTTCCATAGAAACATGTCATGAAATCCAATGAAATCAGCTTTTTTTGTTGGGAAAATCCCATATCAACCCTATCCAAAATCCGATTACTTCCACTAAAATCACCATGCGATCTGATTGAATCATGAAATCATATCTGGTTGGTGGTTTGGAACGTTTTTTTATTTTTCCATAGATTGGGAATAATAACCCCAACTGACTTACTCATATTTTTCAGAGGGGTAGGTATACCACCAGCCAGATATGAAACAACATGAATGTCCATTGAATCCCACACTTTCCATCCAAAGCCACTGGTGGAGTCCTTTTTGTGGATGAAGCCTATTCTCTGAAGAAGGCTCGGTTTTCATGGGCCGGGGATGGGCTAAGTCACAGGTTCTAGGTAAACAAGAGAAATCATCCCTAAATGGTCGCAAGATTCAGGTTAGCGAAACATGATAATTTACTTATATAGATCTATAGAGATTGTTTGGTAGCGTTTTGGAGGAATGGTCATTTGCAGTATGACATCATCCGTTTTGTCAGGAAATGGAGTCATATGGAGTATACTGGCACAGGTATACCCCCAAATCCAAATGGTTATTTTACATGGGGAAGGTGATGATACACCTGTGTCTATATTGTTATTTTCCCCAATAGTTGGGATGATGATCCAATCTGATAAATATGTTTCAGGGGGGTTGAAACCACCAACCAGATTAAAAATGGACATTACTGCTGTGGTAAATGGGATTGATTTCGCCAGTATCCGAATTGATAGATAATTCAACAGTTTGCGAAGTGGAAAATCACAATGATAGGGAAATCATTGAACTAAATCATTGAACTCAATGGGCCAAAAAAAATCCATATCTATGGTAAAAATTACTGGTTGGATCGGATTGAAACCACCAATCAGGGATACGGTGGCTGAACATTCGCTGCAGTAGAATGTGACAATGTTGCTAGGAAACTGAATGACAAGAAACTGATCAACAACGGGATGTGGATGACTACATACCCTATTTTGTAACATCTTGTCACCCTGAATAGGGAAATTGTTTAGATTTGAACCCTAAAAAAGCTTAACCAGTAAACATTGGTTGAAACATTGTGTCAAAGAATAGGCGGGAAGCCAGTCAAGTCAAACTGGTGAGGTAGACGTGTCTAATCTTTTGGTAGGTTGGTAGTGTAGCTTGAGATGCCCTTTCTTCACAATGCATTTTTGGGGGCATGGTTTAACTGTCCAATCGATTTTAGGTAAAAAATTGGTTGAAATTTCATATCTGGATGATCATGGGCCGAGTTTCTCGGCGAGGTCTGTGGTGTGGGGCTCAGATGATCAACTCTTCTCCGGTGGTATGGCCTGGACCCCGGCCCGATAGGGCGAGGTTGCATTTGAGCGGCCCTGTTGTGACACAATGCAGTATATTATATTATATTATATTGTACTATATTATATTTTATTATATTATATCATATTATATTGTATTTTATTATAGTATGTTATTTTATATTTTATTATATTATGTGATTTTTCATTATATTATATCATATTATACTATATTACATTATTATGTTGTATTATATTAAATTATATTACATTATATTATGTTATATTATATTATATTAGTTTATATTATATATATATTATTATATTATATTATTAAATTATATTACATTATATTATGTTATATGATATTATATTACATTATATTACATTATATTACATTATATTATGTTATATTATATTAAATAATATAATGTAATATCATTTAATATAATATACTATAATATTATATCATGATTATATTTATTATATTATATTATATATTATATTATATAATATAATATAATATAATATTACATTATATTATGTTATATTCCATTATATTATATTATATTATATTATATTATATTATATTATATAACATTATATTGTATATTCTTATATATTGTATATATGTAAACTTGAAGAACATCCTCAAACTTGATGTCACACATGTCCTTGTTGTCTATTTGCTTGCTATGTTGACCTAATTATAGAAGCAGTCTATTCTCACACAGGCGCAAGTTTGTTGCAAAGATTTTCAGGTTATTTCTTTTCACCAGGTCATGGTTTCTTCTGGGGGGAAAGACTCCAGCCGAATTGCAACATGAAATCCCAACAAAGGTGTTTGGATTTCCTGTTTCCAATTGGACAAATTTGGGTCCATGTGAAGACGTGAAGACAAGGGGCCAAAACTCTTGGAACATTCACCAGAGATATTTAAAAGAGTGTCCAAACAATATCCAAATATGATCAAATATGTACACATATATCGAAAAACACGAGGATGCTGAATAATTCTGACACCAACGGCACCTGATTTTGTTGGTGATTTGGATGTTCCTTTTGCAGGATGGCACGGTGCGCGCTTGGGACACCCGTATGGGGGCACGGAGCCTCTTCCTATGCGACCTCTATGCGCACGAAGGTGCGTAGCTATGGGTGGCGTTTTCTTGGGGCTAGCATGAGCCAGGAGACAAGTGACTGCTTGGTGAATTCACGTGTTTGAGAGTTATGGTTGGAAGGATATGAGACCACCATCCAGTTGTTATCTGGTTGGTTTGGATCATTTTTCATTTTCCATTTCATATATGGGATAATCTTTCTCATTGACTGCCTTCAAGGAGAAGTCGAGAAGAATTCTCCAAGGATGCAGAACTAAAAAGGCGCTATGTCTTTGGACCACCCAGGACTGAGGGTTAACATTTCGGCTGGATCAATGGGTTTTTGAATGGGTTTCTATTTTTTGCCGTTCATTGGGGAATTATAGTACCCATCTGGTTGGTGGTTTGGAACACGTTTATTTTTCCATATATTGGGAATAATCACCCCAACTGACTTTCATATTTTTCGGAGGGGATTTTCACATTTTCCGCCACATCACGGATCTGCCAGGAGGGCAAAGATTCCTTCAGACAAGAGGCCGTCGACACACTGATCAAAGAGATCGAGGATAAGCGCGATCAGGCTGTGGGGCGCCAGTGACATGGTGGTTTAATGGGTTTAATGGGATTTTATGGGGTTCGATGTGTTTTATAGTTTTTTTTTGGGTTTGAACGTGTGTTTTTGTTTCTTTAAATGTGGTTTTCAGCATCAAACATATGGGAATGTAGTTGATAAGTGATGGTTAAACAGTTGGCCGGTAATTGCGCAGTTCGCGATGAAAGCCGGGGCTTATATATATATATATGTATTTATGTGGATGATTTATACTCCCTTAAACTAATGTAGATGTGGAACACCCTAACACCCACCATTTACAATAAATCATTTTCATAGAGAAACCATGGGTAAACTCCACATCTGTTTGTATGTTTACCTCAGGGTACCTATTGTTTTGATGGTGATTTCTTGACTTTAACTCCATCATTTCAGAGGGGTAGGTCAACCCCCAACCAGATGAGTATTAACTATCATTAACCATATATTGACAGTAGATTTATTTTTTTTTCTGAGGGGTCTGGCGATTTTTTCTGGGATGATCTTTCTGGAATTTTCTGGATAAACACATGATGTGAGACATGGGCGAGGTTGCAACCAACTGGCCGATGCCGTGGCCGTGACCATGGGGCCCAAGGCCGTGGTTCATGGATGCTGAGGGTGGTGACCACCCCAAAATGATGACTCTATATGACTTTTCGATCCCAAAATCACCATGAAATCCCATCCAATGACCATTAATATCCAAAGTATTTTCATTAAATTGCCCTGTGATCACCGTAAAATCCCAGCAAATCACCATGAATATCCCATGGAAAATGTCATGAAGCAAAAATGAGGAACTTGTTGGGTCCACAACGAACGCCTTGAGGGGCGAAACGTGGTGATCGAGCAGTCTTTTGGAGCGCCCAAGGTGCGTGTCTTGGGATAAAGCAATCCTTCCGCCTGGAAATCAAAACCTCCATGGTTGATCTCTGATCGTGAGGTCACCAAAGATGGCGTCACTGTCGCTAAGTCGATCGACTTGAAGTCTATGCCTGAGATGGGAAGAGCCTATCATACCATATCTTTAATATATATGTAATTTTAATTAATTATATATATATATATGTACACATTTAATCGTCGTTCAATTTATCGGCCATATTGGTAAACTT